TATATATATATATATATATATAGTACGACCGCAATGTGGGGATTCTGAAGGAGACAACCAAGAGAAAGCTACATTGATGCAAACTGATGTCAGGAATGCGGGAGGCCTAGACGGATCAGAAGTCGATAGCCCGTCGCTAAATGTGACCTCTCACTTATTCACAGTTACACAACTTTTTCTCCTTCCGTAGTTGGTAGCTTCATCATTTTGGCTGCAGCCTTCATTTCGAGATTCCGGATCAATCGAAGAAAACTTGTTGGCGGGTTTGTGCTTGTCGTGCTGGTGCAGCAGGCTACATGCTGACGCAGCCGCAAAGCTCTGCAGGCATTGATAACAGCAACGCAGTTCACAGCAGCGCGTCTGCACCGCGGCCGCGCACAGTTGCAGGTAATTCTGTTGAGCGTGGTCTTGCGACCACGTCGCTACAAAATCGCGCCTCCGGCTTGTTTTCTGCCTGTGGAAGGGCTGGACTGCGTGTGAACGGCGAACTTGATGGATGCAATGATACGACATGGCCGTCCTAGAACATTTGTTGTTCTCTAGATTCTGTAGGATGGATCTGTAGCGAAACGTGTTCTTGCTTGTTTGTCATTAGTGCCGTCAGGGCTTTCGTCTCAGTTTCATGCACCTTTGTTTGCCAGGACACTATTCCCGAACTAAGCAGCTGGGCGTCTATATTCCTAACTGTAAGAAATCAGCCTGGCCGATTTGTGGCAAGTCATTCATTCCAGTCCTTTGCACTGCCAAGTGCGCAACTAGGGGGTGGAGGTACTCGATATCGTATTCTGTACCCCTAAGAGGAGTGGGCCGTTTTCTGTAGTATGCAGAGAGCGGATTTCATCGAAATCTTCAGTTAACTCCTACTGATATGCCTTAATCTCGCTATTCCCACTTCTCCACCACATTTGGACACACTGCGTATTTAGTAATTGTCTACGGTGTTCGGGCCGCCTGGGGTATAGCATTGATCACGCGATCGCTCTTTTCTCGAAGAAAGAGGAGGATTTACGTACTTTCCGTAGGGCCTTTACCGAAAGCTCAGCCTTATTCCCACCGGAACATCATCCCCACCTAAATAACCTGATGAAGATTGAAGAAAATCAACCTTCCGACGGCGGCGGGGTCAACGGCTGGGCTTCTCGCATTGGAGCGAAAGCAGTCTTCCAGTCGAAGAATCCGATTCATGAAGAATGCCTCCATCTTTCCTGACCATTCAGATATGAGCGGTGCCGCGATGAGGGTTCATGGGAGGAACTCGCTGCATGCATGGAAGCTTGCGCCCAACTGAAGGTGCAACCGACAAGCTGAAATGGATTATTGGATTAGGATGATACGGGACTTCTCTACGTTGACCCATATTTCTGTACGTTGACGCAGAATAACATGACACAATCGTAGGCATGCTGTGGGCGAGCCAATCGCCAGATTCTGGTGAGCTGCATGCGCCAGGAAGCGTTGACAGTGAACCTCTCGCCGGTGCCGATAGCATTTGCATCCTGGGGATACAAAAGGGATGAAGTTAATCTCCCTAGAGGAAAGGAGAGGAGCGTACAACACAGTGCAGAGGCTGCCGAAGACGACAGAAAAGAGCGTGCGGTTGGCTCATGAGGATCGCATATTTGGGAGATTGGATCCTGCCAATACCCGAAGAACAGCACAACAGGAAACAGTAAGATGAAGAGTTCGTAGATGTATTTAATAGCAACGAGCTTTCAGCAGGCCTCCCATCCTCTGGGTGGGTGCCCCATGTACCGCACCGAATTCGTTTCTGTCGCAGCCCCAAGGTCTGTTCCGAGGCATACGCGACCTCGACATCGTGACTAAGCAATCAAGGGGCAACCAGACGGGTTGCAAAGAAAGGCAAAACTCAAGTGTCAACTAGCGTGTTTGGACACAGACTAATGCTGGCAGAGAACAAGAGACGGGAGGTGGCCCATGCGCGCCAGCTTCTAGCAGTGTTGACGGCTGAATGGGATATACGCAGAAGCAGTACATAATGGCGCTTTTGTTGGACTTCAGCAACACCAGAAACTGCAGCGGTACCAGCGGTACCCGCAGGAACTCCAACAGCCAGCGATGCAACAGCAGTGGTGCGGCAGCAAGAGACGCAGCGGTTAGACACGCAGCAAGGCGGATGGATGAAAGACAAGTAACAACATGGGCATCCTGCTACACTTCCTGGTGCAGGAGCACGAAAAGAGGCGGAGAGTCTCTCCAATGTTAACCCATGCCTTGCTGGGCGACAAGGCCCACCAGGGCGTGTGGGCGTGGGGCGTGTGTATGCTTGGGTGAGAGGCGTGGCACGTATGGAATGCCGGAAGCTGCTGCGTCTATTTTTTCCTGCATGAAGGTTGGCCACCGAGGGCCAAGAAAGGAGGGTCTTCGATATTAAAAGAGGGTTGCCACAAGCTGGAATATAATGAGAAAAAGCCCTCAGATACCCAACAGAAGTTGACCTCCCTTCTATTCTCCAAGCGTCCTCTGAGCAGCTGCAGAAGGGCCAGGGGATGGAGCGAAGAGGAAGTGGCCTGCCACGAGTTGAAGGACTGCTTGCTGCAACTATTGCACGACATGCAAGCATCAACACTACAACAAGGCCCTTTTGGCTACACTGAAATTCAAAAGCACTTACTAGGCCCTCAGCAGCTAAGATGAGATAAAAGACAAATACACATACGCATTTCAGATTCATGCTTCAGGCACTGTAGTATAACGCTGCAGGGTTGCTAGAGACTGGCGAAAGGTTTGTTGTTGGCGGTGCATATCTATATACATATAAAAACTAATCATGCGGCCATTTAGTCCAGTGCTTAGCTCCCTTACAATTTACTTTTGATTTGCAGTCCTTCAACGTTCATCTTCCAACGACAGCACCTCCTGGTCACACCGACGAAGACCGCGCTGGGCCCCGCATGCAACAGAAGCACAGGGAAATGACCACGACTGCTCGCTGGGGAAAGTCGTAGAAATGCGCAATGCCTGGTTCACAATTTTCACTTTGCAAGAAATATTTATAGTTTGAAGGCTTTCGACTACTGTGTCGACGTCGCACAGCCGTGGGGGGCGCTGGCCTTGCGACGACCAGATTCTTGGAGTTTTGCTGCTTTTTGGAACCACGAGGGACACGGAATTATCTGGGTTATCAATTTGCTTTGATGAGTCGATTCATGTGGCCTGTTGGGTTGTGGAAGCCACTCTCTCGTCTGGCAGGGAATTTTTCAAACATCGTGGATGACTGTGCTGGCTCGTATGCACACGTGAAGGGGCCATTATAATTGTCTGTCCCTGCCAGGGATCAATGATAATTTGGGGGAAGCGGCTCTGCTATGGCGTCATCAGCGCCTTTTAAGATTTTTAGAGCTCCCCCCATTCCGGCTCCTACCGGTCGTCGGCCGATCGGTTTCCGCGGTATGCACACCCAGCAGACCTCAGCATATGCCCCGTATAAACCTATAATGACATCTTGTTTCCATTGCGCTTTGCATTCTTAGCAGGGGCAACATTTATTCGAAAGCAACGCTCCTTGAACTACCCCTTCGTTTTTTTCCTTTTTCCCGGTGTGGATCCGACTCAGGGAACCACCAACATAAAAAGGCCCTTTACGACCCTGTATTCAGAACTACAACCGTGAGGCAGACTCCATTCTGCTTGATCTCAATACAAATCATGCGAAGCCTCCCTCGCGTTCAGCCGTGGCAGGCTTTCGTCACTGTGTGCATGCATGGCGTGTTGATTCCCAGGAATCAACCAGCTGTTTTAGCGGCCGTAGCTTCTTGACAGTTGGATCTGCTTGCATAGGAAGCCTGATATTGTTCACCTTCCCGGTTTCTGCATGTATGCAGGTGCCGTCAAACTTAGTTCCGCGTTACCCCATCGATTGGCGAAACGGGGGCCGGGCTCTGTTGGTGGCTGCTCTGCACAAGTTGGAGGGGAACTACCGGCTGCTTCCGCGTGCACAGCATCCACTGCAGTGCCAAGCTCCGCTCGACCCAGGCTCGCTAACGGTCGCAGGGGACAGTTGTGCAGGGGGGTGCTCAGTTGAGTCACTCGTCACTTTGGGGCGCAGACGGAGTGGCAGAGCAGGATACGCTGCTGGGGCGGCTGCCAAGCGGCTTGTGCTGAGACATCGAAGGGCCCTGCAGTGGCAGGAAGGCGGATTCTGCAACAGCAAGTGTGGTATGGCGTGTAGCAAAAGCCCTTGGAGGTGTTTGTGCGCCTGGAGATGCAGAGGCTTCCATCAACATGCAAACCGAATGGATGCGATCCTGATGAGTCACAAGGGGCCAGTGGACTCCGACAAGCCACTTTTTAGTGTAAAAAGAGCAGAAGTTGCTCCATCCAGGTCAGACTAGGGAAAACACGTGTCAGGGTTGTCTACACAAAAAGCACTGCATGTAACATCCTCGTAGAAGTACTGCAACTACGGAGCATGGAGTGTCGCCGTCGTACCCTGTATGTTTCATGTTTGACTTGATTCGTCACAAGCAAGGCATTCTGCTTTTTCGCAGACTGGCAAGTGAGGGGATGATCTTCTGCACCCGAAAAGGTGCCTTCGTGCACACAGCTGAAAAGTTGCACCAGGCATTCGCCGCCATCGATGTAGAGAAAAGGCGAGAGGAAACATCAACGCAGCGGTCGCGGGCGGTATGCTGGGGAATTGAAGAAGACTTGGGAGCTGACAGTGACGGCGAAGAGGATTTGGACGAGGAGGCAGAAGATCTCTTGAAGTTTTTGTCGAAGAGCCGAAGCTCCGCATAAAGCGCATTTTTGTGAACAGCGTTGCTCACGCACGACAGTCTGCTGCGGTAGTCCTGATGAGACTGGCACGCGTTGTACCGTTGACAGCATCACTTCCTACTCGAACAGTACTTTTTCAATTAACTCGACGCAACCCGCCTTTTTTGTCAGCTGGGAAGGATATGATCTCCCCATCTTCATCGGCGCATTTCCGCTTCCTTCCAACGCGCTCAAACGTAGCGCGTTTGTCATTCGATCCCGTGATGTGCCAGCTAAAAGGAATTTTGCACACAGCAGCTTTTTTGCTGTGCAGTGTACGCGCACTGGACGTGTTCCTACTGCCTAAGGAAGGTGGTGCCTGACGGTGTCTCTCACATAATACGTTGATATGACAAAATCAGAGGAAACTAAATTTGGGTCAGTAATGCTCAGATTCGCAGCGGACCTCTGACAAATCTCCCAACTGCCTACTGGGCACATCAACAGCCCAGGGTAGAGCGCATCTGCGTTCTGGCGGCTGGCGGCTTTCTGGCTGCATAACAGAGCAGTTCTTAATTTGAAACAGAGAACTCCAACTACGCGTCTTATTTATGTTAAAGGCGGATGACTTCGCACATACAGAGTAGCGATCTTCACTTACGGCGGTTAATTAACAGCAGAACCCCGAGACCAAGCAGCCGATACCTGCAAATGATAAAAGCGCATATTGTGTACTACGCCGCAAAAGCTATTCAACAAATGCACATGCACACAAAGCCACATGTGAAGCGAGCAAGGGAAGACGGCTCGAACTGAGTTGCTCACACTACGATCTGCGTTAGAAGCATTAAGGCACTGAACCAGTATGAGTCGCGATTTATTGCGTAGTATTGCAAGACCTGCAAACCAATGAATAAAGCATCAACGAATATGCAGAAAACATATTTATGCAGGGCACTGGTGACTAACGCGAAGTACAAGAAGTATGCAACAGCAACATATCTCAAGTGCCGGCATATCGGGATGACATATTCGCCTTGCTGTACTCTCAAACACCATATGGGGCAAGCATATTCAAAAAAGGATGTGTACCACCGTTCACATAGGCATCTAGCTGTATCTCTGTCCGGCTTAATAAATTCCCCTGTCAAGGAGATGCATTGTTTTGGACCTGCTCTCCATTTGAGTAGCACTGAGGTGGAAGAACTCCGGCTGGGCACGGCTTCAGCGTAACTCCCTCTGTGGAGACAAATGAGCCAAAGTGATTCGAAATTTTGCATGCACAGTGGTTTCTGCGACAACCTGCGATGCCTGTGCAGCTGGAACCATTGGAAGGAGATGACACCAGTAACTGCCTTCACATATTGCTAATAAAGAGCAGTAGATTACCCCAAACGGCGTGCATTACGCCGGACCAACCCCACCGAAACGGCGACATGTACTGCGCAGCACAAACCACCACATTCAACTCCACAGGAAAACGTTCTCTGCCTTCATAGTTCTAATGCCCGCCTTCAAAACCCTCAGTCTTTAATTCCCGCGTAGCTGGTGCGCCATTGCAGGCGCATACGTGCTTTGGCATTTTCTTCCCCCCAGCTCAGGCGGCTAATCAATTAATGTGTATTCCAACAGAAAGCTTTCTTAACAGTGCAAATGCTCACCTGCAGCCAAATCCAAAACCCCGGCATGCTTGACAGAATCACCATAAATCCGGACATTAGGACTAGAGGCATGAACAATATAGGGATCATCGTCGAAGCGAACTGAAGCTGTTGAATAACGCAAAGACACAAACAAGTGTAACAACACAACAGAATAGTCGAAATACGCCACGGCACAGGGTACTTGCTGAATACAGTTGAAAGGTGTCTAAAGAGCTCATAGCAAGTATAGCAAGGATGGTCTTCAAGTTTTCCCAAGTTTGCCTTGGGCTGTCCAGCTCCCTGCATCTGAAGCGTGAACTCTGTCGTCTACTAAAAATACGTTAGATGAAACAAAGAAGAAATGTAGCTGAGAACCGAATCTTCCCGCTGTGCGCAGATTCCACATTTGTCCTTAGCGCTGTGGGGACAAGTGGTTAAAGCAAGATGTGTATATCTGTGATACCGTAGGCGCCGCGCAGGAGACAGCATAGCCAATTGAAATGGCGCTGTTGGTTGTCAGAAAGATAAATAGTACACCCAAGAGCCAGCGCACTGCCGCATCATTCAGGCCGACCATGTACCATGCAATTCTGAGCAACAGCAGACATTGCACACTCCAAGGGTCACAGGTTGCAATGGGCAGCGTTTAATTCGTCGAGCAAGCAGACCAACTTCCTACTGTCTTACGTTGCGAAAACAACGGGGAAGATCATCTGCAAGGAAAAATCAGCGATCATCTTGCCACAATAATACGACGAGAGACGGTAAAGGCCAGACTGGTACTCTCGAATAGCCAAAACTTTGTCACTTGTAAACGTATGCAGCACTGAAACCATTCCGAGACTCCCCTACAATCGCAAAGCGCGCTCATGCACGCAGATAAGGAGGTACGCAACGAAACCTAGACAAGGAAAAATGTATCCTCGTCAGAGCCAGACACTTTTCTGGATTGACAATGCGCATGTGATGCGCGTGGTATATCCCTTGCCATCGCTGTTTCTGTCATTCCCTGCTTCTGACCTCCGTGACAGTTCCCAAGACATTTCACGGGCCCACCAGCTCCACCCCGTTCCCGCGCACCTGATTCAGAACTATAAAGGTGCACGCACCACTTCTTGACAAGTAGTTGTCTGGAGAAAGCCGTAGAAAAATAAGACCGGCGATAATGGCCAGCACTAGAGTCTGCCCAACTCTCGCCTGAAATGCCCGCGGGTTCCGGCTGTTACTGATGAAGCTCCGGTGAACCAAAGTAAACAGCTCTTCAGACCTTCGGCGGCAAGGCAAAGACCGCAGAATGCGAGAATAACAAATGGAATAACAAATGGAAGATGGCAGCACAGGCAGTGCATCTGCCCATAATAAACGCACAAACACGAACCGCGCGCTTATAAGCACACGTCCATGAAGAGCCTGAGACATTTACAGGGCGAAGCGCCCATTTTCACCGAATTCCGTCCCACCAGCTGGGCTTGTATTTGTCGTATGCTTCCTTCGTTGGCTCCGTTTCAATGTCAGCTGGCCCTCGCGTTCCTGTGGCAGCACTGGAAAGCACGGGATCTGGATTAACTTGCAGTTGCGTACTGAAGTTGTAAATAAGTTAGTAAATGGCGTTTAAAGCCCGTCAGCAGGTTGTGGCCACGGTCAACCGCGCGCTTCACTAGTTGCCCCTGTTCGGACCAGCACTCGCCCATGTGATTCGTGGATGGGAACGGAACAGCAGCATACTTGGGATGAGACGGAAATAAATATGGGAAGACCTACCTGTCTCGCTAGTAGCGAAATCCTGAGGCAGAGACAAAAAGAAAAGCGAATCTGAGCAGCTCCTGCAACAACTCAGTTGCGTTATGCCGGGCAACTAGTCACAAATGGAGACTTGCAGGCAAGCAAAAGACACGGTTTAAAAATTTAAAGTCCTCCCCTACATGTGGAGGAAATAGCAGTGGATCATATGCGCCATCACAGTTAAGCGATCTGGCTGGCTGCAAAGTTGTTGTATGTGCACTGGCCGATCATCCTGGCTGAAGGAGGATTGCCCCCGCCCTCTACGAAGCGAAGATATACAGGACAGTGAACTGCGCCGTGACATGCTGAGCCATACGAAGTGCGTGTTACTCCATGAGACATAGCACTTCGTGCATACACAAGCACAAACACACTTGGCGATGATGAAGCCAGTTACCCCGTAAAACCTGGCGTGAGAATGACAGGAAACAATAACATCGTAGACATCTATGAAGCAATGGAGTTGTCAACTGCAAACGGAAATAATCAGATCCTTCTCACACCCGCGCCTCCTCCGCCTAAAGCTCTTTCTGCCCCCCCCTAAGCCTTTTGTAGCAGGTAAGACATAGATGCGAAAGCGCAAATTACCTGGGCACCCTGGAATGCTCCAGCGTCCTGCATGGCTTGAATGTGCTTATCTCGGACATTCGCCTGAGATCCAGTAACAGGGACACAAGCTTCAAGGTGAGCAAGCCGGTGCATGCTTGCTTCACTCAAGTGTTCGCAGTTCTGTCGATTCCTCCATTTTCTATTAGATATTATCCTGCCAATTATGCTTTATGCATGCATGTACGCCTACCCAATCAGCAAGAAAGGCAGCGCCTGTCCTTTCCCAATGCTCTGCCAGTCTGCACAGGTAGCATTTCAAATCCCACTTGAAATTGCGCGCAAGTGCGGCCGTATCCTGCCTTTCCGCGCTTGTTCCCACTTACATAAATACTCAAAATGCTTCACAAACTGCACTCAGTCTGCTCTTCCAAGCAGTACATAGGACTGTATGAGTGCACAACCCCAAGGCGCAGGCGGTCACAAATCCAGAAAGTATGTAGGCCCTAAAAGTGTGTTGATCGAAGTAACGGCCCATCACCTTTATTGAAATGAAACGTAAGTTACATCTGGCGAGAAACAAACCAGAAAAGACGCAGCACCCAACACCACTAGCGTTCTCTTTACTATTGGGATGCATGCATACTTCTCCGGCGTCAAATCGCTTAAATCTTCCGAAGGCTCGCCCAGGTTAAGCTGCTGCTTGACAAGAAGCTCAAGAAGGAACTCTGGCACGCTTGTGAACGGTGGGCAGGGTCGACCTAAACGCGAAAAGTAGAGCAGAGTTGCCTCGCGGTCCCCGTAGAAAACCAACCGGCCACGACTCAGCAGCAGCACCTTTGTGAACATGTTGAAAATGTTCGAACTCGGCTGGTGAATTGTGCATATAATCGTTCTCCCTGTGCGCACAGCAAATGCACCGGGGAAGCAACTATACCCCAAAAATCGTTTCAAGACGCTCTGCGAAAGCAGGAACTCTTCACTATTCCAAATAAATCAGAACCACGCAGCACATCAGCTGCCGCAGGCAACCCAAGGTGAAGCAAACGAAAAACTGTGCTCCTCACCTCGATCCGCTAACAGTCTGAAAATGCTCATGACGTTTTCAGCTATGAGGGAGTCCAGACCAGTGGTAGGCTCGTCCGCAAATATTACCGACGGGCTCGTCATCATTTCCGTGGCAATATTCAAGCGTTTCTTTTCCCCCCCACTGATACCTCTGCGGTCGCAGCAAGCATGCGCAGGCAACTCAACGCCACAACCGTTCTATACGGAAGTGGGGTGTAAAACAACTCAGTGCACAACCCCAGCTAAAATACATAAAATTTGCATCGAACGCCGACCTCTTCGCTGCCATTTGGAGGTTCCCTATTCTAGAGTCCTTGACTTTCGTCAAGCCGTACAGTTCCACCAAACGGTCAACCAGCTTCGACCTTTGTTCCTTCTTCTGTCCAGTCCGCAGTCTTGCCTGAGCGAATGACGAACAACACAGCAAACAGTGAGCAGTGAAGAACAAACCTCACGCAACACGCCACAAAAAAACCTCTCCAGGCAGAGAAGACGCTACTGAAAGTGTCCATAGCTTTCTGTCGTGTGTGGGTTTTGGCAGAGATGCCATCCAAGCAAAGGTGCGTGTGGTGTGTGTGCGCCCTTCTATATGTATTGGTATGTAGAGCGCGAAAATGATGAAATAAACAGGTAAGCGTAACGCACCACGCAGTCTAGATGCTCCTGTACTGTAAGGAATCCATAAAAGCTGTCACTTTGTTGTATGAAACAACACAGGCGCTTCACTTCGACCGAGCCCAAGGACTTGCCGTTGAACAAAACGGACCCTCCATTGCTAACGATGCGGCGGCTTAGAACTGCAGGGATCGACCACAGGTTCACGAACCCCTTTCTGAACTGACTTCCTGGATTACTAACGTCAACCACGGAACCCACCGACGCCCATTGCATCGGCATCAAGCCGCCACAATGAGGCAGCATAGTCAGATGCCTAATCTGTTTCATGCATCCACCGCACGTTCTTTTGTCAGCTTGTATTCTATTTCCTCTAACCGGCATTTTGGCACGCTCAGCGTCAAAAGCATGCAAGGATGTTCCCATGCCTACCATTGAGAAGCGTCGACTTCCCTGCCCCGCTGGCTCCCATCAGTGCAACTGCAGAAAAGGCCATAAAGCGAACGACGGCCACAATGAGGCTGCATCTGGTTCGAAAACTCCTGGCTAGACACTACTTCCAGCAGACTAAAGTGCTTGACGAGATCTCCGCGCTCCTCTCCATGTGTATAGATAGCTGATCGGTGGAACGAACAGCCAGCCACTCTCACCCATTTCCCCCGGTTGAACGGTCCCGTCAACTCCCTGAAGGAGAGTCTTGGTCTGCGGCGGCGTCACAGCGCACGCAATTTGGTTCAAAACGGGCAGGGAAAGGGCGCCGGTGAACCTCTTCGGTACATTCACTTTCACTGCAAACACAGAACCACAAAACGGCACGGACGCGATGAATTTTCGCTCCATCTACAGTGCTACGCGGTAACTCCAATGCAACAATCAATCCCAAAGCGCATTCCTCCCAGGACTTTAGTACACAAACGAAAAGCATATGCCAATTTGGCCGACCGGTGTAAAACTACCTAGATACACAATGAGCCCTTAGATAGAGTTAAATCTGTGCAGGAGTTAAACTGCACGCATTCCCTTTCCAGAAAATGATGTAATATCTGCAGCACATACTCACTCTTCTGCTTGCAGGTCGTCCCCGCCAGCGAGTAGCAGAGTGGCTAGAACGTGACTTCTATCCAGAGCTGTTGTTTGTAGACTTACAGGAGACATCTTTGAAGGTGATGGTGACAGGCGGGCAGAAGGGAAGGTCCTTAAGGCGTTCATAGGTCGGGTTCTGTTCATTGGAGTCTTGGTAAGAAATGCCTTCGCCCCTCCCCAGACCTGCTTCCTCTGTCCCGTCCATGCAGCTCACAGAGCGCTTGTCTACGGAGCTGCGCCGACTCTTGAGACTCTGGATGCTAAAGCGGCGAAGCACAACATCTGAAGCCGCTGCATTCAAGGCTTCGCAACAGTCCCCAGCTCCTGCAGGAGGCATTCCACTGGACAGCTGCCGCAGGAACTCTTCCTGAGGCTCCGCCATCTCTGAAGGAGGTAATCAAGCTTGAAATTATATTTGTACTGCCCTACAAGCGAAAACGGCAAAAGTGGCCCAGTCGTAAAGGCGCCGAGAGTCAACCGCCTTGCACGGGTCCGGGCAACGCCCTCCACAGTGTCGTAGAAGCCTCCCAGTTCTGCCACTCTCTTCTTATCTATGGAGGAATCGCAAGTACCTTGATTAATGAGGCCTCGCCCAAAGGCTGGAAAAGGAAAGAACTGCGGACCACGACGGTCGCCAGCAGCACTCACGCCCTACCGCTGCAGCCTAGGGGGTTGTTTTCCCCCATCAACGAGAATCTCTGTGGCAGCCAACACTCAAACCGCAAATAATCCAAGCATAGTGTTAGTTGCAGGCCAAAGCCAATTTGGAGCTTTGGCTATCAGTTCCACCAGGAAGTTCGTCGCGTGCCGTGTCGTCCAGGTCTCCGCAGCAAGAATAGACTTCGCAGTCTGAAACGCCAGCTGACGGCACTTCTTCATGAATTGATTTACATATAAGATGGGAACACTAGGGCTGGCGGGTTGCGTGAGACTTATTCTGTAAGGTCTTAATGGAAAAACTCTACGAGTATCCCCGTGTCAGAGGGTCTCTAGTAGGCGCACGAATAATGGTTGTATGTGTGCAGGTCTCTGGTGCCCAAGTAATTGTTTTCCAACTGGCTAACTCTGTATCTTGCTTGTGCGTATGAGGGCTTCCGATAGCCAAGCATGCGTTTTATTATTGACGACTCTGTTGGTACTTGTATCATGCAGCATGGTCTGCCCGAAGTTGGTGCACAAAAGCTTACTTGGCCTTAGTAGAGAGCCTGCAAGCAAGCAGAAGTACAGCACACTACAGTGTTACTGCAGACAGCAAAAGGGGCGTTGAATGGTCTTGCATGCGGAAATTTACCGCAGCATATGTTGCAACGAGGCGCGCTGTAACCCGTGTCAGGCAGCTTTCTTTCCCCCAGCCCCAGGCCGTTAGGATGCTGTGCGCAGAACACCTGGAGAGTGGATAGGACGTTAGCTACTTTCTAGGGTTGCTTGCGGAAAATCTTGTGGGTCGATCGCATCTCACGGCGGTCCTCGCATAAGATCGGTGGCTCTCGTTACTGTCGGTAGCGACAGTAACGCCGGGACAGGCGCGAGCAACGAACCCCACACGAACAGCTGAGCGGCTTGGTGCATAGCAATGGCTACTAGCGGAGATGTTCTATAGAAACATCGTTTGCGAAACCTCGGCGTTATTCTCGTACTGCATCATGGAGATTAATGAGGGTCTGCCCTCTGTTAGTCACACACGCAGGCCAATCTCGAGTTAACCCTGTGACAACACAAATTATTATTGACATGTAGGGGTTTCTGCCGCCGCTTGACACAGGCATCGAAGCGGTGCTGATATCTGAACCTACGACGGGGGGATGCAACCCACCTGTGCATTCGTTGTCTGCAACTATGCTCCGTGGATGGCAGAGCGGACCGAAGGGCCGGCAAAGCAATGAATTTAAAATGCTAGCGCAACTCTGAAATATCATGGAAAGGGACTTCTATGTTGGATTAGTCCACCTCGACGTATTCCTAGGCATGCCTTTGGTGAACCAATGTGAGGTGGAAGGCACGACCACTAGACGACATGGGCGCGGTCTATGCGCCGGAACGCACTAAGACAGCGCATGTCTTAGCCCATCCGAATGCGTATGCACCCGTTGCGGTAAGATGAGTGGAAGCAGTGTTTCAAGGAGGAAGGAGCGAAGCGGCTCCTACGCAGTGCAGAGATGCGCCAAGTAAAAACGGAGGAATACATGCAGTCCGCCGTTTTCTTACCAAGAGCGCTGTTGTGAGTGCTCGACCTAGTTAACTCCCGAGAAACAGCAGAAGTTGACACAATTGGAGGAAAATTTCTCGTGTACACTAAAAGCCAGTGAGCTACCAGAGGGCCTACCACCTGCTGGACGCCCAGTGCACCGCATCGCGCTCATACCCGGCGCAACATCACTCTCTGTTCCAAGCCATAGGCAACATCCACATGTGGAAGAGGAAACCAAGCAACAAGCAGAAGAAGCACTAAGAAAAGGCAAAAAAGCTGAACTGTCCTCTAGCACATCTGGATACGATCCGGTGCTGGCAAAGTAGGGCGGAAGGCGGTGGCGCCAGCTCCAATCCTCGACAGAATAACAATATATTAAAAGTGTCCAATGCCCTAGATCAATGAACTACTTGACCGCTTGCAGAGTGCAGCACTTGACTCTGCTGAAGCGTTTTTACGATCCTAATAGATCTGAGCAACATGTACAAAACATCCCTCCATACTGCACCCTCGGGTACGCGTGTTTGCCATATGGGCTCGTGGGTGCACCTGCCGAATTCCAGCGGCAGTTCAATGCGGTGTGGATACTTCTACAGATGGATGACCTGCTTGTCTTCAACCGGAATGAGCAGGAAAACCTGCACCACCTACGGCATGCCCTGCGTGGGAAGCAGTAATTCTTGGAAGCACAGAGGTGCTACGTTCTCATGCAAACAACTACCTTCTTATGGGTTCATGTGCCTGCAACAAGTATCGAATATGATCCAGCAAAGATGAGAGCCAGTTGGAGGTGGCTCCTACCCCTGTACTCTCGCAGGGATGTACAAAAGTTCCTCGATCTTGCATTGTACTAAGGCACCTTCATCCGTGGACTAGCTTGCATATATGACCCTCTGTCGGATCCTCTTCTGAAGTACAAATAGCCTACTTGAACAGAAAATGAAGGAGAAGCCGTCAGAAGCCTCATCAGACTCCTGAGATCGTCCCCGGGATCCGCTCTCCCTGATTTTGAGAGACCCCTATTCCTAACAACCGGCGCCAGTGCAGTAGCAGTTGACGCGATGCTCCATCAGCAAGCCAACGACTTGGAAAAAGCATAGAAAAATGGCTTGCTTCTTACGCCGTATGACAGAAAGCAAACAAAGGTCCGCCTGGAGGTAGAAGGAGCTCTGCACAGTCTTGTGGAGAGTAAAAATGTGTTGGGATTACAAATCGGGCAGGCGATTCGTTGTTCAAACCGATTATCAATGACGCACCTGCCAAAGAATTTCTGCTACTAGGAAAGAGTCGTTCAGTGGCTTTGTCGGCTCCCGCAGTAATAGGTGGTGGCCGACGCACTCTCCTGACCCGCTACCAGCCAGGAACTGCGCACTTCATCTGTGTGTTCTTGCACTGATTCCATTTTCTCTCTAAAGTGCGCTCTTCCTACATTAAGGATACTCTCGCTGCAGCGAGAAGCCTCTGCCCACCTACTTCGATAGCTGTTGGGGTTTGCGCCAACTGTTCTTCTCATTTTGACACATTTAGCTCAGAGATAGTAACAGCAGAACGCGCAGAAGCATCGGCCTTGGGAACAGGTGCTGGGAAGCGGCAACCGCACCAACGGTAGCAACCACAACGGCAGGCAGCAATAACTGCAGCACCAGAAATATCATCTGAGGCAGCTGATGAGGGTTTCGTTTCACTTAAAGTTTTGCCCGGAGAATGGGAGCAGCACCATACCAGAATTGCCAATAGATATTCGGCACTCTGTGGCGAGAATAATTGCCCAGTATCCGTTGACCGTTTGTGGTGAGCATGCTGAGGTGCATAACGAACGGAAGCGCTCCCTTTCCGTTTTGTTGCAGCGTATAGTGAGGTTTGGTGAGAAAGATGATGCTTCAGTATCTGCCGTTTTCCAGCATGGTGCTGGAATGCGAGCGATCGTCTAGCCCTGCAAAGGCAGGAGGCATTTTGGGCATACCAACCTTCGCTGCTGTAGGCAGCGGGTCTCGATCTCCGGAGATGCTGTAAAATAGCTAACGAATTGCTTTCTATGTTGAAAAACACTGCATTTTTAACTTCTCGGAAATCAGAATCTCTAACTTCAGCGCCACGGGACGTCCACTAGCCCTAGACACACGGCTCCTACACTCTAGCATATTAGAGCGAACTGGAGAACAACCTCGTACAATCTGGCGTTCGGCCACTAAGGTGTTTATAGAGGCGTTGTTAGCTGGAAGATATATCTTATGATAGGAGAGTTCGGTGTCGGTACCTACTCGGGGCACTTCGTTGCAGACAGCGCGGCAGTTGTCCCAGAATGCGTTGTCCGGCATTAGAGTTGTTGTCATTATGCTGTTGCTTTTGCTGTAGAACCACTAAGATGTGAGGCCGAGACAAAGGAAGCAAGCCACTGGGAAAGCGAGGAGCGAAGAGACACCGGAAGGTGCTGCGTGAGTATGCTGGGCATCACCAAACCTGCTGTTCGTGACTTAGCTGGGAGAGAAGAGGGGTTAAACTTATCTCAGATATTACCTACCAGGAGATTAGGCACGTGGTAAATGTTTTTCTTGACAGTACCATCAAGGACTCCATCACCTACACCGAACGTCCGCGCGAAAAACCGTCACAGCTGTGGAAACCATCAGTTTTGGTGGGTAGAGTAAACCCTAAGGACGAATGTAGGAGGAAAAGGCAGAAAAAGTCAAAGACGCGACATGCGAATGCGAGTAGCTGAACCAGCAGAAAACCCTCAGAGTGTGTGGCCTCGAGGAGGTGACAAGAATACCCCTCTTTCTACCACGCCTTTCCTCAACGGTTTTACAGGACGCATGGGGGTGTAATACTTTAGTGTCTAGGGGTAAATTGGGCTCAAAAGCGCACGCTTTGACTTCACACAGGCCTGCAATACAAAAGAAGTAAGAATGAGCGACAAGCGAAACGCAATAACTCCCCTTTCAGCATCTCCAGAGAAAACCTGCTGAAAAACCAAAGCATTCCAGTCATAAGAAGGAGCCCTTTCAAGATCCTTTGGACTGGGTAGATAGGGGAGGAAATACAACTAGTAGATCGATGGGAAGTTGGGGCAGACAGCGACGAACTTCCCACCTTCTTCATGAACCCGATAAAGAAGGGGTAGAAGGCGCTGTACATGGCCGGCACGATTGATGAGTGCGCGGTGCAACAGGTTAAGGATTTTGACAGGCAAAAGCTGCGCTGCTGCAAGAAGAGTCTCGAGATCGATGAGATGGATGAGCAGGAGAAGTTTACGGAGCTGAAGGCGGGGTTTGGGCCCCTCTAGAAGCTGATTAAGGGGTCGTTTCATGACAAAGTAGACAAGATCGTTCTATCCAACGGCCACACACTCAAAAGTCACGAGTATATATAAGGAATTCGGCTTGGTTGCTAACAGGGAGCCCATCAGGAAGGCCCAAGACGTGCGAGATAACAAAGCGACGAGCTACACTCGCAGCTGGAAGAGGTTTTGGCTGAGCAGAAGGAAATCAAGACAGCAATGCAACAACTTATGGAGGCAGGCAAGCCCACGAAGACGCGTGATGCTTGAGAAAGGGGGAGCAGATGCAGCTTGGTGTGTCCGAAGTTGCACTAGTTGCAACGAGGTGCGTTGCAGCTCACGCCAGCCTGGCTGCTCTCTCCCAGACCCACGCCCTGGTGCTGCGCTTAGGACGGGAGAGGAGCGGCTTTTTTGGGAATTCTTGCATTAAGTCTTTTGGCTTGATCCCAGCTCACGACGGTCCTCCGATAAGGTCGTGGACTCTCGTTGCAGGAATGCTACGGATCCTTACAGCAGCACCAGTGTGCGAGGTCAGCACGGGCCGCAGCCTGGCACGACCCCCCAAAACAGTAGTAAAAAGCTCATTGACGGAGGCAGTATTATTCTTGCGTAGGCAAAACTACCACGCGGACTAACCAATCTCTTACACAAGCGCCCTCAGCAGAGCAAAGAAACGCAGCGTGCCGGAGAAGAGTACTTGGAAGTTCAGAGTTGTCTGCATATAATAAACAGATGCATATCTCCTCACTAATCTTTGTGATACTCTTGAACGAAAGTGGGAGGTTGACACTTGCACAAATTACCGGTGGAAGGGGGACTGTTCCAACCACGCTCGACTCAACGAAAATACAATGACCACGGTGCCGACTGCATGGAATAAGGTCATGCGCTCCAGCTGGTGCCCTTGCTCCTTAGAAACTACTATTAAGTAGAAAAACGCAATAAAAATTACCTGCCTAAAAGCCGCATTCGTGCATGAACTTGACGCCTCGTGCGTTTCTGCGACTGACAGCCCCCTGCATATCCCACAATCTTCGGGCGCGAAATGGAAGAAAGCGACCAATTCAATGGACTTCTTCCCGATAGCTACCATAGTTTAGAGTTTATCTGCGTTTTTTCCCTGTCTGTTGCCTTATCAGGAGAATCAATGCATGTAGAAATACAACCGACATTACCTTTACCGACGGGCAGACACCTGAGAGTATCCTTGTATAGGGAGGCGATAGCCAATCATTTCGACAGTTTCAGCGCTATCGGCACATTTAGTCCTAGAGAGGGATGACCCTCTCCACGTTGTTTACTGGAAATTAACGCCTTTTTTTGCCCTCGCCTCACTCTTCCATGGTGCCACCGGCATACCCTCCTGTTGACGCTAGCATGGCGGCCGCGGGCAAACAGCATCGCAAGGCAGTGCAGTCAAACTATCACCAAAGTGTAAATCAGCACTATGTACTGGAGGTATGACAGCAGTAGTCGTTAATATGCGGATTCCTCTCCCCTGTTCGCGAGCGGATTACGGCGATTCGCCAGTCGCGCGTACACTTTCGCGCCTACGCCTCCATCTGCATATTGGGCCTTCCTTCCGGTAGTTACACCCTAGATTATACCTGGTGGGCATTATGTATCGAGAAGGGGAGTGACGGGATGTGTCTGCTCTGCGTGCGTCAACAGGAGGAGCAGATGGCGCCGAAAGATTTGTTGCAGCAGTTGCATCTCGTTGTGGAGGATTTGGCTGCATTGGATGGCTCCCTTACGTCTCTCTTTGAAGCTGCGCCGAACACGGATGTAACGGAACACCAGCAGCTGGTCCAGGTAGGATCCTTCCTCTATGCTCCAATGACCGCTTCATGGGCATGGCCAGTGTTTTCCACGCTCTCGGGTAGGTCAATTATATGCGTCTCCATACGCTTGGGTAATGCGGCTTGAATGGCTTCAGTTCCGGAGCCGCGTCGCGCGACGTATAACTCGCTACGGTCAGCTTGCGAAGAATTTGGCCCAAATTGTCGAGAAGATCATTTCCTACAGCTCCGCTCAATCCCAAGATGAGCCCCGCCAAAGAGAATCCTTTCACCCCAGACAGCTGCATGAACTCGACTCCCTACTGAAGCAGCACCAACAACGCTTGCAAAAGTACGCAGGCGCACCACCGCTCTCCACATCCTCGCATTCCACTGCATGATCACCCACTTTATTTTAGCTTAGGGCTGCGCTAGCCCCTGGTGAGCACAGGGTCTTTTATGTGTATGTGGCAATGATTCATGCCTCCACAGTCCATAGTATTCCTTTTTGCATAGATGTACGAATCTGTACACCGATGTTTGATGCGCAAGGCTACACAGGTTGGCGGACGCAGGTACGCACAGCACATATTCACACATGTGCATTAGAAGAACCATTAGCATGCCTGCATGCACAAAAATGTGCAGGCATGCTAATGGTTCTTCTAATACATATGTGTGAATCTGTGCTATGCGTATTTTGCTGGGCTGCTGTACAGGTGAATGCAGACTATACGCAATTTTGTCCTATCCGTGGGTAGATGCATGCTAGTGTTCGCTTGTGTGTGAGTTTCGTTTGTGTGTACTTGCTTGTCTGACGAGCAGGCTACCTTTTTCCCCCTCTGCCTTTGCACCTGCTTACGTGTTTCTGTCGGCGACTTGTGTGACTTGGAATGCAGGTACAAGTCGCAGTTCGCTGCCTGGTGGCAGAATACTGAACGGCACTTTCACACAATGCGGATGGCCAATTTCGTATGCTCCGTCCAAGAGAGGTGGGCTTATGTTTAATGGAACCACTCGGGCCCACCTGGCGTATATTTTCACTTTGTTACTGCGTTTTTCTCTATTCACTTCGCTGTCTCCCCGTTTCTCGTTTCAGGGCACAGACTTCATTAGGCTTGCCTGCTAGAGATGGACCTCCTGGAGGTCCTTCCCGCAGCGGGGGCCCCCGTTTCGAACCCGTTAGAGCTAAGGCAACTAGTGGGGAGCTGGTCGCCGCGGACCGCGGACCGCAGAAGCCACAAGCTGATACTTCTCTCAACCCAGCAGCTCTGCAGAGGCCCGCCCAGGTTCAGGCCCGCAGCCAGCAGCTGCTCCAGGAGACGGGCCAGGCTATGGTCAAGGAGGTGCAACGCATGCGCGCCACACAAGAGCAGCTCCAACAGTCGTCGAACGCCCTGGAACAGACAGAGGCATCCTACAACGGTCAGACACGTGCCACAAACCATGACAGTCCAACACAACATCGATGCTGCACTGGGATGCCCTATGAAGCGCAGTCTGTTGTTGCATGGACAAAATAGTGGGAGACGTTGCAATATGTCGGCGTTCCCAGCTAAGATGTGGGGATTCGGCGGCGGTTTTGGGATGTGCTTTCGGTTCGGCCATTGGGAGGCATGTGACTAGACGCGACGGTCTCATTTTAGTGTCGTAAATGATTAGCTCCAGGTATAGTGCGTGCAAGGCGGGGTCTGCTGCTTTGTGAATGTCGTTGATTCCCATGTACTTAGTCGATCTTTCGAAATGAGTTTATACTGCCGCATGCAAACCATAGTGTGAGGGGCCCAGCCGCATGTAGATGGGGCTTCTCTACGGCTGGATGCTCGGGAACCGGACTGAAGGGCCTTTCTCTGTTTCACGCCGGGGGATGGAGGTGGGGCTGGTAGGTTGGCTGATGGATTGGCAGAAGGGCCAGGGGGGCAGGGCAGAAAGGGCCGCCTTTCGCTGCTACTGCTTTTATTGATGTTGCAGTCTTTGGCTCGCGACTCTCCAGCGCAACAGGAATGCTGCAGACTTTGAAAAAGAGGTACACTACCCCTGGGATGCGCAGCTCATCGCAGCGCAGCTTCCTGCAGGGTTTCAGGGGAAAACGGCAGAGAGCAGCAGATGGAGTGCAATAACAGAAAAGAGGGCAGTGACCAAGCCGGTAGAGAGCCGGCAGCATGTGTTAGCTTGCCCGATTGCATGTATAATGAAGCTTGCGTGGGACCAAGGGCTGCTTTCAGCAGCACCGCAGAACGCCCCTACTTGGAAAGCGCGCGGGCCATCTTTCCCCTCGGGATCAGTATCAGCGTAATGTGCTAGTAGTGTGCTTTCGTCGACTTCCCTGCAAAGTATTCCATTTTCCCACCAGCCCGTTGATGTGCAGCTGCTGCTGCATGAAAAGGCTGAGTGGGTACAATATCGGAGCAACCGTCTGTGGGGAGTCTGTGCGTGTGTATTTCCCATCCCGGGTTTTTTTGCTTGCTTTTGTTGGTGTTTCGTGACCTTTAAAACAGCGAGCTGCGGGTTTTCAAACGTGCTGGTACTGCGATCTCTTTGTTTGGACCATATTTGGTGGATAGTCCTGCGCAAATATGCGCAAATATGATCGATGCTGCTTGCGGCTTACGGTGAAGTCGGACGCATGGCATTTCCCATTGCCATGGCGCAGGCCTACGGAGCCAGTTCAAATACGTTAGAGTGTGAATGCACCCTTGGATTTTGGGGGACATGCTTGGCCTGGCTTCTGATGAATCGCCCAGGAGACAGGACGGGAACTTTAGATCGCCCATTTCCCGCGACACAAGATATTGTTTTTCATTCGCAGTCTTGGCGCTTGTGACGCTCTGCTTCATGTCATTTAATGGAGTTGGAGAACTCTGGTGTAATGAGCAGCCTTTGCACTGCCATTTGCTACATTACTTTTCGTGGATAGACTAAATTGAATAGAGTACTTTTGGGCTGGGTTGAAGGCCACTAAGTAGGTTCGATGAGCAATGCCTGAAGCTATCATTGTTTGTGCGTTTTCTTCCCTGCATTTGTTGCAGGTCTGCGTCTGATTCAGAGCTTATTTGGTTCGCGTTCCTCTTCTTCTTGGGGTGCTGCGCATTCGTCCTGCTGAGACGTCTGGGGCTTTTAAAGCTTGTAATAGGCGTAAGTTTTTCTTTTGCCGTTATCTCTCAGGCCCCTTAGTGTGTGGGTCATATATACTTGGCATGATCTTCCTTTCTCGTGTTCGCGTTTATCTAAAGCTCCCGCAGGTGTCCACGGTATCTTAAACTTCTTTTCGCCCTTTAGGCTCGAACCTTACGCGCGATGGTTTCTTTTGAGGCTGCACCTTGACTCTGCTGCAGGTGACCTCTTTCTCGGTAAGGCATTCAATCTATCTGGTTCTTGGGGTAGCTGACCGGACTTTGTTGGTTTTGGCTTGGATGTGGGAAAATTGGTTCATGGGAACCAAAGCATCTCACAAGCCCCTGGAAACGACAGCCACTCAGGCTTTAAACTTCCCTGCCGAATCTTTTGTATCTGGGAGACCTCCGGCTGCGCCCGGGTTGCTTGCAACTTCCGCTGCCACCGTCATCGCGGCGACTTCTGCCCCATCTAGACGCAACCCTGCTCGTGAGGCTGAAGTCGGCCTCAATATCTACCATGCGGCGGCACCGGAAGGAGTTCAAAAAGAGGTTTCAGCTCAGAAGGCCAACACTCGTACTGAGGCAGGCCTGACGGCAGGGGAACAGATGAAAGACGGGCTGCACGCCTATGTGCAGCAACACGACAAAAGGGGCAGTGAGTTCAGTCCACGTGCGGCGCGCCTGTCAACGAAAGACAAAGAGAAGCACGCCAAGGCACCTCAGTCAGAGGAGCTCTCAGAAGAATCACAAGTAGCGGCAGGGAACGCCGCGGAAGTCACCGGACGAAAGCCTCGCCCTATTGGTAGTCCTTCCAGCAACTTGAACAGGCCATCTGCTGCTGAGCGTCAGCAGTAGCGTGCAGAGAAAGGTTTGCGGTGTCTTAATCATTAAAAATGGTTATTACGGATGAGAGTAGAGTAGTGGAGCTCATGGGTCGCGGGAATCCCAAAGGCTAGTGAAGCATTAGGCCTAATCACGTGAAGGACGAAAGCTTGCAGCGGTTCGGGTACGCTTGCATCTCCAGATGCATGCATTTTCCGACTTCAGGTATTCTGTGAGGCGTACGGGCTCTAGGTCAGGTGCTTAGATCCTCATTTTTCTCGAATTCTGGCTGTAGTGGCCGCTGGCAGTCAGAGCCTTTTCCTTTGTGAGTTGAAATGAGCGGTTGCCTGTACAGCAGTTCAGAGGGAGCGCAAACGTAGCAGATCTCCTTTTTGCTGAGCGAGCAGTGCTGGCTGTTAGTGGAGTATCAATGCCTTTGAAGAGGGATGGTGGGAGTTCCCTTTCAACTCTATTTGTGCCCGCGCTGGTTTCTCGTAAGATTGTCGACAGCCGGGGGTTGCTGCCGTGGGAGATTTCCTAGGTGGTGTTGACTCCTTGCCTTTTATCACCTTAGCGTACAAAAAAATGTGGAACGATTCGCACTGACTAGTCGATGGTAGCTGGTGCTGCACGTCGCTGTGCATATACACCAAATAATTCCTTGATTGGTGTATGCCAGCAGCTGCAGGGGCGAGAGCAAAAGAAAACAGCATTGTTGGGTGCTCGTTCGCTTTAGCTGGTAAATAGTCTGCTGCTGAATAGATGACACTGCAGTGAATAACAAGGATGCGCAAAATACTGATGAACTATAGAGAAACCTACTACGAACTATGAAGGGCTTTGGCCGTCTCGAGGGGTACCCCAGAGGCAATTCTCGAAGCCAGTGCCTAGAACGTTCGAGGGTCTGAGCATAGATAGTGGTTCAATTAACCAGGCAATTCGCGCTAGCGTCGCCCCCTTCACAGGTTTTTTTTTAATGCCCAGCGCTGGACCAGCACGTTGCACACGGTTGCGCAATACGTTAGTAAAGACAAGCAGACGTTTCTCCCACACGTGCTTTGTTAGGGGTACGCAGGATGCGTGAGGAGGCCAATAGCCGGCGAGTGCAGGACAGTGCAGTCGAGGACAACTTGCTATTCATTCTCCCTGTATTACAGGACATGATAATTGAAACAATTGTGGGGCATTCCGTATTTATGCCATAAGGTGTTCTTTCCCTCATAAGCATGGCAATCCATTGCCGCAGTAGCACCACCTCTGGATGTTTGCTCTTGAAACGACGCAGGTTAGGGTACTTTGTCGTGCCGATAAATTATGTATGGCCAGTGTTCCCCCGTGGCTGGCAAAGATACTTGGAGGAGTCGCTCAAAAGTTGCTTTCCTTTTCTTTTGGACGCCCGGTTTGAATGGAAGCGAATAATATTACTCAGTTTCTCCTCAATCACTCGCCTCCTCAGCCTTTTGGGGACTTTTCGGGCTTTGTTCCCCCTCTGGCAGGGTCAGCAATCTACTACTCTGTGTACGGACTGGCAGATTTAGCGTGTTTCGATCAGAGCGTGCAGTTTAGGCGGCGGTGTTGTCATGGGAGCAAAACTGAGTATTTGCGGGTGCGCTGAGCCGTTGGAGAAGGTATGTTGATGCCCAACTACAAAGACCTATCTACGATGAGGACTACTGCGGGCAGCTAGGGTTGCCCTCATCGGGTTGCTGGTCTAATCAGGCTACGTATGAATGGTGGTTCACGTAGCAAGCCATTACAATGAGAGTTGGAGTGCCGTATTCATTACGAAGGGTGCTATCAACATGATTGGACTATATTCAACGCCCAGTAGGCAATGGGAGAAGCACATCAGGGTGGGCTGTTGAAAGCGGCAAAAGGGGCGTAGATCGTCGTGGTTTCGGCCGTTAGCAAGCTCTCTGAGCGCAAGCCAGAGAGTCCTATTAGAGCGATACTAGTACAGTCAGCACGCGCATCACCAGACAGTCTCTGTTTATCCTGCCAGTCTGTGTGGAATCGCTCGGCTTGAGGTGCTGCATAGAATGTGGAGTGGTTTCGATACTTAACGCGTTAGCTAAGGAATAAAATATTTATTATATTTTATTCCGAGTACCATCGTTTACAGTTAAGACTACTGGGGTATCTAATCCCATTATCAATTTAGAAATAAATGTTTTTTTTAATCCATTAATAATTAAATTTTTTTCAGGAGTATATTTTGGTATTTCACCTAATAAATAATAAATAATTTTATACGTATTATTTTTTAAATTTTTAATTTTTAAAGGTAAAAAAATTAAAATTTTAGTATTAAATTCTGGTAAAACAAAAAATATAAAAAAATAATAAATGATTTTTTAAATAAAATAAATAAAAATATATTTTCTAAGAAAAATTATTTTATTGGAGTAATGAAAGATGCTTTGCCGTCGTAGTAGCTGCTTGAGCATGCGTGAAGCTAGACGCTGTGCCACGTCGGCAAGGATGGTGAAGCACACGACACGAAAAGTCAAACGCGATAAGATATTGTACTGACACTGGCGACGCGAACTGCGAATAGAGCACTGGTATCTCGCGTGCTGAGCTTGAGCGACGTAGGGCTCAAGTGTACTCCAGAAGCGTTGCCTTCACCGACGAAGAAATGGCTGCAGTACCTACTCTAGGATTCGCACAAGTCGAGGAGGCCGCATTGCGGTGGCAAAATGGCCTAGGCAGAAAGGCCGGTTTGTGCTCCGTTGCAAAGCCGAAACTATACTATACGTTGACAGGCTGATCCTCTCAATTACAGCAGCGATAGCGGCCCAATTACACATGAATCACCTTTGGATACTCTGCCGATTGTCGATGGCATCACTAATGAAAAGGGTCCGGAGATTGTTAACAATAACTGGAACGAATCCCTTTTATAGCCTAAAATCACTCAGAATATGGCTGCTGCTGACTGCTTGGTGCCTGACGGTCGAACGGTGCACGGAGCACAAAAATCATATTCTTGCGCAGATTCGAAGCTCTATAGAAAGCAAAAGTAACCAGCATTGCTTCCATGCGCAATGGCTTAATATACAACAGTGCCTGCATTGGATGTTCCCCGGCTTTCCTGGTTTGCACCATATCATCAACGGACGAGCCGTTGTTGGAACTGGCTGTTGGCTGCAAGCCCGATCCTTCGGTGGTAGGAAGCCTTCCGACTCTGCGTTCGAAAGCTCAGCAATGCATGAAGAGTGCACAGGAAAGCCAGGCAGGATGGGATGTTCGGCCGTTACTTTTGGGCCAGCTGAGTTGGTCCTACGGGGTTCGCCTTTTCGGGACGCGCAGGAGTGCAAGTACTCTAGGAAGGTCCGAGCCAGCCACCCGCAGCTAGCTATGCGATTGGTAGGGCCCCTCACTGTTTGGTTTATTATCAGTGGGGTGACTTAAATAATAGATTCACCCCCATTTGTAGGGTACTCAAAGCTGCAAAAAAAGTTGTTTTTGTAATACGGATGTTGGACTGAGAGAGGCGTCTTCTAAATACTCAAACCAAAAGGCAGCACAGTTAAGGAGAGACGGAAGAACAAGAGAAGACTGACATCCTGGACACACGGGTACCGAAACGGAGAGACCTCACCAAAAGAGAAGTGTATGCTAATTGGCCAGGACACTGGCAGTCCAAGCGGGTTTTCGAAATCTTTTTTCCATCAGCCATTTCTCAGGGGCTTATACATGCTCTTCTAGATACAGCGGCGGCGACCGAAAACGTGGGTATGAACAGCGCAGCGTGATTGAACACCACTGTTGCGAAGTTGTTCTGCTACTGGAAAAGAAGGGCCCAAATATTCCATCTGCCTGTTCCCTTGACCAATTTTTTTGATAGCGTGATTTTCTGCTTTTCCTCCGTCTGCAGCTAGCTCAGCGGCTAGGTCGACGGAGTGTTCATAATTACATATTTTGGGCTGGCTTGCCGTTCTCGACTGGGCCGATTGAACAATAGACTCTACTGCTCGTTCGTGCATTGTGAAGGCTTTTAGAATGCGTGAGTAGGGTGTTGTATTTGCTGTAAATGTTGCAGCAGCGCTAGCTGCTGCAACATTTTACAACTGATCGCGTGAGGATTTAGGACCCTGTGCCACTCAGGATGCCTGAAAGACGGAGGAGGGAAATTGCTGTGAGGTAAACTGAAAACAGTTCGCGTTTTTACTCTCTTAAAGTTCACGACGGTCCAAGACAAAGGCGGAGGACAATCGTTGTACACGCGGGCTCATGCAGGCTCAGATCTTTCCACAGGTTAACTGGCTGGCTGTGCGCAGTGGCCAGAGCGAGGGCCTACGCAGTTGTATCGCTGAACTCCGCTTACATTGCCATCTGTTCCAAGCCATATGCATGTGTGATGGCTATCTACACCTGTATGAATGAACTTGATCCATGTATACTCTTTAATTCTCTTACTTCACTCTTTGGCAGTGTGGGAGTCCCCTTTGAGATTGGGCGGTGTTCTCACCCTGGGCCCTCAGAAACTTGGCCCTTTTACTCCTTTACGTATGGAGTTTGAGGTGGTTACACACGAGCAACTGTCCAGCGAATGAATTGTACGAACGGGGTGGGGCCAAACAGCAATAGATGCATAAAAAGAAGACGCGTTCCAGAGTCGCCTTTCTCTCGGCGCATCCGTTGCAAAACGCTGTTCGGCAGGAAATCGTGCATTCACGGTGGCTGTAAATGCCTCTAGCATAAGCGTGAGCTACGGAATACTTATGCGAGAAAAAAACAAACTCCGAATCAGCCCGACAAAAATAGCCCAACCTGTCCTTCGAGAGCTCACCAAACGGGAGGCTCTGGCTCACTGTGAGGAGCACAGGTTCGAAAAGGGTAGAAGCTGCATGCTAGAACAACGGCAACAACAGGAATTTCTTGCTTGTGTTGCCGCTGCACTCAGAAACAGCAACGACAACAGAAGTATTCCCCCCCACAGAGGGACGCCGGCAGTCCCAACAGATGTAGCAGCCATTCTAAGTAGTTTGGCGCTCGGTAAGAATTTGTGCTCTGTGGCAGGCCTAGAATAACTCCTTACGACATGGACATAAAAACGTAGTAACATGCTGCTCGTGGCTCCTCTGCCGAAAATTCTGGTCTTCAGCCCTTAGAAAAGCCATATACTGCTGCTGCTGCTGGAGCACCTGCACCAGGCAAGAAGCCTCCTGCTGCAACCTGCACACGAGACGCAACACCAACAGGAAGTCCCTCTGTCTTCTGAGGACACCACTAAAATATACTGCTAAAAGACCTCCGGTGCCGTATGAAGCTCGCCTGTGTAGCTTCTCTTCTTGTTGCCTGTACCTTAGCACTGTTACAAATACTCGTTGCCTGCTCTGCCGAGCTTCTTGCTCCTTCGCAAGCCTCATTCCGATCGCCTGAACCAAACGTGTCTGCCTGAGCTATGAGCCCAACGAAAAGTGCTGCTTATGCAATAAAATCTTTCGGCTCCCGCACCTGCCCTGCGCTATAGTGATCTGGTCTCAGTGCAATTTGGTACAATAACCGAACGGCTGAACTTGCATGCCATACGAAGTGGATCTAAATGCCCTAGAGCAATACAACAATCTAGGTGGTATGCATATCAGCTTAACCCTACAGCGCACGGGTGGTACCAGCATATCGAGAATCTAAGGGTTGTAGAGCCTAGTGAATAAACAGATGGCCGATTAGACCACATCAGCAATTGCACAAAGGAGACAACGGACGGTAAGCTGCTGATCTTGTAACGCTTTCGTCCTGGCAGCCACAGTCTGCAGCAAGACTGAGACCTCTCTGTCCAGTGTGTGACAGCCTGAGAGCAACATAGCGGCAATGGGCTGCATCCATTTGCGGTTCTGCTCATTCAGGAGAACAAAAGGACTGAGACAGTACACATCTCACCACACAAACGTAAACGCGCGTAGCCGTCGGCCTGCCAAATTACATGTTAGCACTGTGCTTGCAAAGGCTTGCGTTCGCCTAGATAGACACCATAAAAGCTACCATCGTACCGCGAATATGCTTGCCTGGGAATGCCACATTTTGGCTTGCGTCGTTTACGTGAGAGGGCACAGTAGGTAAAGGTGGGCGCTGCCAACTCACTCAGTAGCAACTCATTGATACGCAGCTGAAGACATTGGCTGTCGTCTGCCTTTGGATTGTAGGGAAAATCCATTGACTCCGCTTCTATCTTTGTTTTGCTTAGAAATAATAATATTTTAGTGTTTTATTAGGTTCAGAGTTGGTTGTCTGTTCAGAAGACTAGCCGAAGATGCGCGAGTGGGAGCTTGAACGGACAGCTGAGATGTCGAGTGGCAGAGTCGGCGGCACTTCGGCGACGCTTCGCCCTTATAGCATATCTCCAGTCAATCCAAAAAACGTCTACTTTTTTCTGAGGCAGAGACATTTTGACTGTCGCTGGTTAACAAAACAGCAGCGTTTTTGACGGCGCATCTGCCCAGGGGAGGTCAGTCGAGCTCCACACGCATGCAGACCCGGCGGAACGAGCCGTGAGAAGGCAAACCAGTCAGCAGAGGTGACTTTCTGAGCGTAGAACAAAGCTGCTTTCAACGTTTGAATAAAATGGAGACAAAGGGAATGGAAAGAGACTAATTTCGGCGCGTAGTTGGGCTGGTCTATTGCCGGACCGCTCGTGCCGCCGGAGTGCAGTCTCCCGAAGCCAGCGGCATTTCTGAGCCTGAAGGTCAAACGTTTCCTCTGTTCAGTTTTGCTCTTTTCGGGTCCAGGGTGGAAAACCTTCACAAGAAGTCTCTTCTTACTATACTGACATCCTAAAAAGACAGCGAGCACTCACCTGAGCGCCACCAAAACCCAAAATTGTACTCCGGTTCAAACCCTCAAGCGAGGCGCCCAAGTAGCTGAATCATTCTAGTGGAGCCTAAGCCCACCATATCAACGGCAAATAGTACGGAGCTTGGGGAAGCGCTAGCTCGTGTTCGTAGTGGGTGTTGTTCCTTGTTGAGGAGGGCTGTGACAGTAGCTGCTGTTGCTGCTACTTCAGGCCTTCAGTGCTGCTGCTGCCACTTTTAATTCGAGATGAAGTCTAGGTGGGTGATTGAAGATGTTCCTCATGGGCCTTGGGGCTGCCGCAGCAGCAAGTGCCGCATTTGTATTGCCGCTATTTCTCTACTACCACTTCGTTGACAAGAGGAAGAGCACTCCGATTGCGGCTGTTTCCTTCTGTGGTACACTCACCTTTGCCCTTCTTCTGGCCTTTCTCGTGCCCATTGACATCATGCAAGCCTCCACAGCCAACTCTGCTGCGGTACGGGGGACTGAGGCCTCCAAAGAGCTACAGCCGCCGCCGTCTGTGGCTGAAGCTGCTGCTGCAGCCCATGCCTCCAACGTTGCAGCAGCAGCATTTACCCCTGCGGGAGCAGCAGCGGCAGCAGCTGCCACTGCTGGCTGGGCAGCACTTACAAAGGTCGTCCATCCCCTCACCCCTGAGGTGTTACAACAGCTGTACCTTTCCCTTGGCATCGCTGTCTTCCTTTGCTGCTTTATATTGACACCTGCGGCTATCTTCTATGCCAACGAGAGCGACAGGAGGCGGGTACAATGCTGTGTTACTAGTGCATTGTTCACAATATAGTGTTGCAACCAGGTAGCAGGGACAGCAGCGTTCTTGTGGTCGGAAGCTATTCACATTGCATTACTATTTTTGAGAGCACTATTTAAACAAAAATATTGCAAACGCATACGTAAACTACAGAAACAACAGAGTAGCGGTAGTAGTAGTGGCATGTGAGAGAAATGTAGCGGACATGGAATAATCACTTTTATGCGAGTTAGAGAAGCACTGGCGGTTCAGCACAACACCTACACTGTGCCATAGCTTTAGAGTTGCCTACACACGCATCCCGTTTTAGCATGTGGAATTATTATTGCTGTTACTTGCAAATATTTGCCAAGTAGAATTTGGGCACCGGTTTACTGCATCTTTCACATACTTTATCCCTAGTCTGCCTGGATGGGCCACTCCTTGGCACTGCTGCTTCAGCTTAGCTTAGTTGTTGCCGCTGCACGTCAAATGCACGCCCGGATGCCCGTCGTTTTCCCCAGGAACATTTTCTGTGTTGTACTGTATTTGAACAAGGAGTTGCAATCTATGCAGTATATACACGTACCGTAATGCATACATCAGTACACCTGTACGCCAGTTTGTACTCCGAGCTGCGTGCATCCGTATTCGTATGTACTGTTTTGCATTTATATAATCATATATACACCCGGGATGGTTTATGAGCGTACTCCGGCGTGCAGTGTCATATTTGTAAATATAGACGCACTCTAAATACAATGTGCACGAGGTTGTGTCTCTAGGCAGTGTTGCACCCTAATTGATAGGCTTCTTCTCCGTTGTGCATACGAAGTGCACTGCAGGTATCTGCTTGTCTTTGTAGGTGCAGGATTTCGATGAGGTTGAAGCGTTCCCTTGTAAGGCCACTTTTGCAGCGGTGAGGAAGACCGTTTTATTCGTCATCGCTGCGTGCGTGCTGCTCCTGGTGTTACTGGCAGTGAGGCCCGGCATGCCTCCTCCAGCTTTTTTTAGACCAGAGGAGCCCGTTGTGCAGCAGCAGCTTCTGCAGCAGCAGGAGCATCCGGAAGGAAGCACTGCTGGAAGGAGCTCTGCCGGCCTCATGGCAGCAGCAGCAGCAGCGGCTTCTGCGGCTGCTGCTACGGCCAGTGCTGCTGCTGCAGCAGCAGCTGCAGCGGCACAACGCGTCGACTCGGACGCCGTGCAGCTGTACACAGCTCAGCTGCTGGGGGTACACAAAACAGGAGTGGATTCTCTGCTGTATTTGGGCGCCTGTTTCCTTTGTGGGGGTGAGTCTTAGTATATAGCCACGGACAAGCACATGCAGACACCACGACATAGATGCACAAATAACCAAAGCCGTGGAAAGATACAGGCATACAGCCATAGAACCATAAGGACAGATTGCCAGGTGAAGACGTGAAGAGTCAAAGACGTACAGACAGACACACGTTAGTCGCGAACGTATGGACGAGTAGGGCTATGAATGGAAAGGTATGGAGGTGGGAACACACATATATGAATACGCAGGGAGAGAAGGGCACGCATTCACAATGAAAATATGGAGCTCTAAGTATATGGAGATGTAAATACACGTAGGCACACACATATATTCACACTGTTCACGAATGAACCTAGAAAGGAGTAATAGCCCAAGCAATGCGTGCGTCTGGCGTGAAGGCACCTAACAACAAGATGCAACTCAAGGACAAAAACACTCGTGGATAAGCATCAATGATATGCAATTCTAAATGTGCATGAATTCTTGAATTCTTGTGTCAGAAGTGCAGTTTGACTCTCGTGCCGCTGTGGTGCGCTTGCTGTTGCTGCATCTCGGATTTGTTGCTGCTGCAGCACAGGGCGTGTGGATCATCTTTGGGGCCTTCGGTTTGGCGTGCCTCCCTTTCGCCTGGCTCCAACGTCCTCCTTCCACTGAGCAGCAGCAGCAGCAGTTGCAACACGCAATAGCAGCAATACGAGAACAGCAGCGCTTGCTCCAGGTGGGCATGGTTTTGGTGTTTCATGCGCCACTATTTATTCATATCTTATGGTGTGCTGAAAAGGAACTGCGTTTTTTGTCATTTCTAAGGGTTTAAAGGGGAATTTAATAGATCGTAGCACAGAGGCTCCTGTCAAGGTGTTTTTAGCACACCATACACTATACACAAAAAATATATAAGGAAGTCAAATTTTTGGCACATTCATAAGGAACGGATCCATACCAAATGCATGAATACATGCACACACACAAGTACATCCATGTATAGATTTGTATAAGTCAGGCACAGGTACAAGGAAAAAAGATAACACACAGATGCGATACAAAGACAGGAAGATGTAACAACTCACAGAAAAACACGAAGATATGCAATTCCAGGCGTACACAGGCGTGTACACCGAGCCTGAAGGACAGAAGCACAGAGATGCACAGAAGCACACATCGGCACATGCAGGCTAACATCTATCATCCGTAGGGACAACCAAGCATAAGGTTGAGTGATATGACGGCGATTAGCACCAACCCCCCAGGGTCAGCTGCCTTCTTCTGTCATGGCGCTACACTCCCTTTGGAGGTCCTTCCATGCCCGTTTAACCCTGTTGACTTCCTTTCAACAGCTAGTGATTGCGGTTGGCTTCTACTGCAGAACAAATATGCTGGAGGCCGGCAAATGAACCCTTTCGACGCTGAGACGTTCCAGCAGCTGCGGGCGCAGCAGCGCATCTGCAGCGAGAGGAAGTACAAATTGCAGGTAAGGGTTCCTTCTGGACTGTGTCTGGCGATGCCTGCTTGCTCTATATTTTTTGTGTAATTGTTGGCTTTTATTTTCCATGCAGAGTTTTGGTTGGTCGGAAGTGAACTGCCCACTGATGATTAGCTGTCTTCAGTTGTGTCTGGTTGTGCTTGCTGAATTTGCATACAATTGCCTTTACTTACTAGTCGCCATGTTCCACAGCGCTGAATAGGCTCGCCTACGCTTACTGGTATTAAGTTTCGATTTACTATGCTTAGTGAATATTCAATGCATTTTACAACGTTTGATGATGCCCATTTATGCTTGCTTCTGTTTGATTCACAGTACATGCATTGGATAACAACTACGGGGAATTTAAAAACCCCGCCAACGCCTTCGGGCACAGTCGAGGGTACCGCTGCAGCAGGGATGATCTTTTTCGTTAGAGAAGCTGACAAGCAGAGAGAAGGGGTCACGTCTCTATCGCTTAGGTCGTCGAGTTTACGGTCTAGAGTGTCCGTGCGGTGCAGGAAGCAGAAGCGAGGACTCGTTCGGCGTATTCGGTGTTCTGTCGTTTGCTGCTGCCCTTTCGGCAGACGCTGGGCTTGCTGCTGCTACTCCTGCTGCTGCTGCTGCTCGTGTCTTTGGGCGCAGTCCTCATTAGGCGGCTGGAGGCCTCTGCGTGCGGCTGGCGCTGCGGCTTCGCCGCCCCCAACTCTGACGGCTCCCCAACGCCTGCAGATGCGGTTCTATTGCTTCTTTCGTCAGTAGGTTTCGTTTCGTTGTGAATACAACTGCCTGTTGCCTTTTGCCTGTACACCACCTCGCCATAGACGAATAGAAGCACCCAAATGAAGCAGGTAGCAAAGAGTTGGCTTTTCACCTTGCTGTTTGCTGTTATGGTGTGCCGTAGTTTCCTCCCGGAGACATGTGGCTGGTTTGTTGCTGGTTGCTGCTGTTGGTGCTAGGGGGTTTGTACGGCCTGCTGCGGCTGCTGCCCCTTTGCACATCCAGACACAAGCGACTCCGCGAATGGCAGCTGCATGTCGTTGTCAAAGGAGGGTCAAGTTCCCCGCAGGTAGGCCTGAAACTGGGTCTTGTTTTGCTCACACTGCAGTAGAAGCAAACAACAGAGGCGCTGAAGAGCGGCCGGTAGCGCCTGCGGCAATAGCAACAAAAACAGCATTAGCATGAACAGCAACAAAGGCAGCAGAAGCAGCAACAGCATTAGGCCCAGATGAAGAGAAGGGGGCTAATTAGCCAGGAGATGTTCGGAATTTCGTGCAGGGCTCGTCTCTGCAGAGTTTAGGGATTAGGGCTGTATCGCATGCATGGCTCTGGGATATGGCATTGGCACCCCACCAATTGGCTGCATGCGATGCAGGTGCTGCTGCTCATGTCTTCATTGCTAGCACACCTCGTTTTGGCCGCTGGTCTTTGCCTCTTTACGGTAAGCCATCCTGTTCGCGGCTGCTTGTGCTGTCAGCACTTCTCTGTTGAGCCTCTTCTGCTGCTGCTTTTGTTGCGTCTGCCTGCACCATTGCTTCCATTTAGTATAGCTGCTGCTGCTGTTGTTGGGTGTCAGCTTAGCTTGCATTGTTGCAGCTGCTGCGCACCTTGGTGCCTCACGAACTCTCTCTACTGAGGCAAAGCTGCGGCCTTGTGCTTCTTTGTCTCGTCAGGCGGCACCTCAATACGCTTCCTTCGGTAACCAAACGTTTGTCCCTCAAGTAGGCCGCTTGGCGCAACCGACCCAGTTAGCTGGTTGCTAGTTAGCAAATCCAGCTAGGCAGCTGATCAAGCTAGCTAGCTCAACCAGCAAGCTGCCTTAGATGTTTAGCGGCTCAAGCGACTAGCTAATCCAGCTAGCTGGCAAACCAAGCGAAGTAGCCGGTCGAAGTGGCTAGCACGTGCAAGAGACTAGCTGAGCAGTAAGATTAATGGATGCGGTGCGAGGTCCTTCGAGCTTTCCGAGGGCTCCTTGAATCCCTAGTCAGTACTGTAGGACTAGGATGCTGATGCTGCTTCCGCAGCTTCTGCTCTTTTTGCTGCTGCAGAATGGGTCGGATGCCATCACGTGTTCGCTGCATGCAGCCGCAGCTGGCACGTCGTGCCGCCTCACTGTGTTTGCTGCTGCTCTTTCGCGTGTGGCCTTCGGTGAGTAGAGCTCTAGCAACGGGTTTAGCGGTCTGCTTCAGCTGGTTTCGAATGTTGGGTGCACTGCTGTGGGGGAGTCAAGGGTTGGCACCACATGCGTTTTGTGTCTTAACTCAATCAGCGACTCCTCTACTCGCCTCGCTGCTGTACTGCAGCAACTGGTGTTTTCTGAGTAAGCTGCCTTTCGTATGAAGCACAAGGGGTAGGGTTAAGAGCCAATGCTGACAAATTGTTGCTATGTGAGGCCTGCTGCTACCTGAACGATGCAGCTCCGAGGGCGTCTGCATGCAGAATTCTGCATTGCGTTGGGCGGCTCTCTTAGCTACTCGCGAAGACTGTACTCGCGCGTATTTAGTACTTGTTCATACGCATATTCATGCGCATATGTAGTCGTGCAATCGCATATGCAAATATAAATGCAATTTATTATGTACACCTACCACAGTTGCGGCCATTCGTGGAAATATTTACATATGAAGTCGTCGTGCATGTGTGTAGTGCATGAGCGCTTCATGCAAATACCCATACATGAATTTATACGGATGTTATAGGGCTGCTTTCATGTGTCCTTACTGCAGTCGGAGTCCTGCTTTGTTTGGTCTATGTAGCCGCTTGCCAGCGGACGGTGCCCCTCCACTTGAGCACGTGGGACTCTCAGCAACAGAGAACAGCAGCAGCAAGAGACGATCTAGATGACTTGGCAGAGGTGGACGAGTCCGATCGGCTGATTGGTGTGTAGAAAAAGGCCCTTCTGTTTCCAGTGGAACATGGGGGCAGCTGCTGCCGCTTCATCGCAGGCATTCGAAAGGTTTAAGTGACACAACCATTGACCTTTAGGGTCTAGATCTCAGGAAGTAAACTCATATTTATCCTACTTGACAATGGCATCTTAGCTTCCCCAGATAACGGGCGTTCTGGTTTTTATCCAGACACAGAAAATCTCAACAACTTGCCCACGAGTCGAGAGAGAAACGACTAACGTTCCTGTAGAGTTAGGCATTATCTCAGTGTTCGACAAGAACTGCCTCCTCATATAGCGCAGGGCTTTTGATTAGGTATATTGACATTACGCGTCCAACTAAGTGAAAAGGCGAAAAAGACACATCTTTGTCGCGGGGCCCCAGGGCGCTATGTGGCCGTCGCGCATACTTTCTAAGTGCACGGCTCCTCTTGTGATTACTCGCCTCCATAAGTAGAGAGCCAAGAGCCGCTGATTGAGCTGCAGCAGGCATTCTGCCGTGCTGCTCCTGCTTGGTTTCCCGCGGGCTTGATAGTGTGTTGCACCTCCGCTTCATCACCTGCGGCTTGTGGGCGTGCGAGGGGCACGGGAAGGGAGCACATGTTGGTGAAGTTTTTGTCGTTATTTGGCATTAAATGGCAACCTCCGCACAGGGAGTGGCTTGCACCACCTTCCGAGCGCACGGATCATCGACGTGCGTGGTGCAGGGGAAGCTCGTACACAAATTGTCCATTCTGCCCCGTTAAAGTTAGCAAGATAACGTGACAAAGACCTCTCTTGATATTCCCAACAAATGCGGCCTCAGCGCCGCCTGTTGAGAATTGCACCCCACAAGATGAGAGAAGCCGGAATCATTGTTGCAGCAGAACTTATTAATCCAAATGGCTCAATATTCACGCGTTCGTCTAGAATTGGCAAATTGAATATATGCCTTTAATGTGAGGTGACGCTTTGCCCCTTATGCAACGATTAAAACACACCGTCTCGTTTTGGTGAGCATAAATATTGCTGCTGCCCCCTGTGGTGCAGCAATTGGGAGCAATGGACGTACGATGCTCCTTTGGAAAAGATGTTGTATTTTCATAGAGCAACCCCGAATACTCTATTTAGTTTTAGATTTGTCGCTTCGGGCTTTGCCGATGTTTATGTCTTGATCAATGCTTTTTGCGTCCGTAGGGCCAGGCGAATGGTTCACAAGTGGTCTCTGCGGCCAAGGGGAGAAGACTGCATTGCTCTTCCTGCTTTTCATGGCTTTCCTCATTGAAAACAAAACACTTGTTTTTGAACGAATAAACGGTAGACGAGGATGTTCAGGAGCATTTCGTGTGCGATAGAAGTGTAGCTCCTGGCCGGAGGACCATCGAGGCTTGACTGCCAATTCACTTCCAGAAAGGTCGCTTCCTTCGGTATTTGCCTATTAGTTCCTTCTTGTTTTTAGAATAAGAACTTTAGACAATAGCGCTGCTGGGAATATGCAGACTGCGCAGTCACAAGCGGTCTCCTATTTCGTTGGCGCTGCTTTCCTTGTCCTCGTACGCCAGTGTGTAGAGTCAGTTTCGGGTTTTTCTCGAAATGGGGCCAACAATACTTCCCAAGGGACTTTGACTGACAGATATGTCTTCCCCTACCTTGAGGATGGTCCTACGAACGAGCCGTTCGGCTCAAGTCCTCTCCAGACCGGCACTTCTCCGCTCGAGCAACTTATCAGCGACGGACCCTTAGGAGAGGCAACCGGAATTTTACCCTTTTCTCCAGGTGGTGACAAAACCCACAAATCAGCCCTCCAAGGACGGCTTACCAAGCTAAACCGGAACGATTTGTCAACCGCTTTTCCGGAATTAACCACAGAACCCTTCAAGGCTGCTTCTTCTGTGTCTAAGGCGCCTTCTGTCTCTGCTGCTTTTGCGTATGGTATTTCGGGCTCACAAAGACAGATGACACAGGAGATCGGCCTGCACAAGTTTGACGCTAGTGGGGGAGCCAACCGGGGGGGGCGGACGTTGCTTGATGAGAAGAGAGGAACGGATGCAACCCCGAGCAGCAGCCCGTCTGTTTTCACATGGAATCCCTTGAATGCTGATGGGGAGCCAACGGAGGCGAAGAGCCTGGAGCATGTGGGGGTGCCTGACGACTTTGTTGGGATTCCGATACTTGACAATGCTGCTGAGCAGCAGAAGGAGCAGAGTAAGGATGCAGCAGCAGCTGCGGAAGAGCCATCATCAGGAAGATACGACAACAGTGCCCGTTCGTCTAATAACACTGCTGCTTCAGGCAGAGGAAGACAGGAGGGGCAACACGACAGTAACGGGGGAATCAGCAGTGGCAAGTACCAAAGACTGCTTGAGCGAGGAGTTGCAGAAAGCCGCAACAACCCTCCTTCAGCCGCTGGTTCGTCTTCTACTTATTCTGAAGACAGTGATCAGCCAAGACCGGTGGCAAAGTCTTTGAAGCACCCCACAGCGTCGCAAGCTCCCGATGCCGCTACTCTTGGTGAATCGGCTCCGAAATCAGAGTCGGGGTCGTTTGAAAGGGGGTCCACCACGGACTTAAACAACTACAACACCACTTTGGGCGGCGTCCGCAGCAGCAACGGCAGCATTAATAACGGCAGCAGTAGCAGCAGCACAACTGGGCCGGATACTCATTCCCAAGCGGGGTGGACCGGCCATAACTCCCAGCAGCACGACGATGGTGAGCATGTGAGGAGTGAAAAGGAACTCTTCAACCCGAGCACATCTTGTGAAGTCCTGGGTTTACATGGGGCAGGAATTGGGTGGAAGTAGGGGTTGATTGTGTAGGATTTACGGCTTAGGACGGGGTAATTTGGGCAGGAGGGAACGATTGAGGCGTAGCCACATCTAGGAAGAAAAGGGGATAACTCCCTTTGTAAAAGCAGGATCTCGAGTTTTTGGGTTTTTGGATTGTTGTGATCAGCAGTACGAGTCTACGTCGGTGGTTCAGACGGCCGCTCACGTTTCGTCAGTTCTTCAGGGCTAACTGGTGCGTCGGAGGACGTTTCTTCCTCTTCATGGGAGCCGATAGTGCCTTGGAGCCGATGGGATTCCGGAAAGGCAGCAAGACGAGAAGCGAAAGAGGCCTTGGGGCGGAAAACGGAGTGTGTGTTGGAAGTGGGGGGCGTCCGTGTCGACGCCTCGTACGTGGACTCTGCATGCACAGGGCCCATAAGCGTTGCATACCAGAAAAAGCAAGGGAAGTTCATGGAGCGGCGGCTGCTACTGGGCAACAAAACGGAGCAGCCCCTCACAGTTGTGATGAAGACTGTAAACGCCAAATTCAACGCTTCCCCATCCTCATACAACAGATCCTACCGTCGTGACTACTCGGGCCCCGCCTCGTTCCTGCAGGGGCAGGAAGGTAACGACACAAATTCAACAACAGCTGCAGCTGCAGGAGCTAAGGCGGCGGATTACGTCACCGATATGCTCAATCGAATGCGCAAACATCGAAGGAAACATCCCGGTCTCCCCTGTAGGTGTACCAGGAGCGGAATGGCCATCCGGCGTTTCGTCTGTATTTGAACACAGACTCTTAGACCCTTGGAAGCACTAAACTATAAACCCTAATTGGAAATCAGATTTTACGGGGATGGTACCTATAGACTGATTGCGTGAAAAACCAGTTCGAAAGAAGGGATTGGGTAGAAACATTGATGAGACGGGCAAATAGATGGGGCAAGGAGGAGTACACTGGAATATATATTTGGGAAGAGCACATGGATGGGAAGGGAGTAGGTAGACGCTAGCATGACAGGGGAGTGAGGTGAAGCGAGCGCTGCGCAGACCGAAGGGGTGCTGAACCTTTTTGCGGGTGCCTGTGTTTGGGTGTTTGTTTGCTTGCTGCGCATGCATGAACGGGCGTTCTGGATGAATGCGGCGTACGGGATGGGGTTCGCAGTGGACTTAGTCGTTTGCTTTGCCAGCCCTCTTGACGGCAACAGCGAAGAGAAGCGGACAGCGACAGAGGGGGAACCAGTCAGCTTCATGCAGACATCTGCTGGCGCGGCGCGGATAGTGCAAACCTGCGAGGAGCTTCTTTCGGTGCTGGAGGAAAGCAAGGGTTTCTCTTGTGAGATTCTCGAGGCGGTCGACATTGTCATCTTGCAGTTCCCACCTGCTGCAGGTACACTGAATAGCTTCAGCCCAAGGGTAAAAGCTAGGGTCTAGGTGTTCGACAGTAGGGAGTTGAGGCACACGTAGGGGCTTTCCTAGTGGCTTCTAGGTATTGCACGCATGGACCTGAATATTGCAAGGGAGAGAGCCTGTTGCAGGGGGATCGCAACAGTTATTGAGTAGGGTTTGGAGTTTAGGGTTCTGATGGGCCTTAATTTTGAAAAAGGGCATGGGCGCTTTGTTTTCATGTAGATTTGTCCGACGAGGGCGAGGTTCATAAGGTGCTATGCAAGTTGTTGTTCCTCGAGGGGAAGGATATCCTCTTTTTTGAACTTGCAAAGCCGGTAAGTGCGTTAGTGCCCAGGGTGCGGGGTATCGGATTGGAGGTTCTATGGTGCTGGAATTTGTTTGCTATGGAGGCGCGCTGGAGGAAATGCACTAAGCGTGCGTGGGTCACTCTTCTTTATCTTTACGTGTTTCTCGCTTTGGTGTCAGGCTTAGATCCTGAACCTTTTGGGATGTAGGACTGAGTGCTGAGGTTTCACAGTTTATGAATGAGGGTGTAGGTTTTAAGATTCTTGGTTTTCTGGTATGCGCAGACGTCGCTTCAAATGGTGCCTGTGGAAGAAGAGCTTCCAGAGCCGCCCAAGGGGCTGGTGGAAAGATGGGCCTTCGTACAGGCTAAGGAGGCCCTGAAGGAGCAGTGCTCAGCGGAGGCTATGACAAAAATTCGTCTCTTGTCAGGTATATAGGGTTTAGGGCATGGTGTTGTTCTACTGTTTAGGATCTACAGTTAATCTGCAGGGGCAGTGCTCTGCCGGGCTAGCAGCTAGACCCAGCTGAGGATATAGCTGAAGGCAAAGTGAAGTGCCACTTTGGGTTAAGGGATGTGTCATTATGCTTCACTTCCCATCTACGTTGCATTTTTGCCCTCTCATCTATTCCAGGTTTTTGACACTCAGAGGGGTTGAATGGGCGTTTTTCTTCCAGGGGCTGAGAGAAGCCCTCGGCCAAGCTGTTGTGGCTCTTGCCATGGGGATAGTTGACAACTTGCGCCTTTTTTGCAGCAGCCTGCTTGTCCTGCGTTGCTTGCCTCCACTTCTTTCGGTTATTCGTCTGTGATTATGTACATCGTCATTTGCATTGAACTGCCTTCTGCGATGTATTGCTGGGCGCTTTCGTTTTCCGTGTTCTTCTGCCGTATACGATTACTACCGTCTGTGCTAGATGCTGTGGCTCTGTGCATTGTCCCCATTCGCTCTTTCCCGTGTATCCTGCGTCGGTTGTACTTTGGCTGTTGTCTGTTTCTAGTTGTGGAGCTCCGGCAGCTGATTCTTCGAACATCTGTTGCGTGCCCTGCAGATGGAGAAGACTCTCCGGTGTCTGCTCACCTTCCTGAGGACCCTGATTTAGAAAAACGGTTGTGGGGGATGTACAGCTCGCGCTGTGTACACGCCTGGCTGCATGGAGAGAAAGGCCACAAAGGCGTTGTGGTGAGCGTGGGCGACGTCCTTTTTCACTCCCTCTGCCGTCCTTCCACCACCAAACACCAGTCTGACCTCGCTTCTGAGGTGTTGGGGATGCTTATCTGTGACGGTTGGTGTAGCATTCTCTGCTGCGCATTGTGTCTGATTGTTTGCATGCCCGGCCGTTAGGTGGTGTGTGTGACTGTTTGGCTGTCCATGCCACTACCGTTTTGTTTGTTTCTCCCCGTGAACTGCGTGGGTTCGCTTCCTGTGCCGGTTTGTCTGTGGGCGTTTGGTTAATGACTCTGTGCTTGTCCTAGTCGGGATTGTTGGTAGGTCGTCACCTCCGCACTACTGCCTGCAGCCAAATACATTGTGCATTTTTTGTGCATAGTTTGCTTGCTTGTGTATTTAGGTGGCTGTTATTGACTCGGGGGTAGCGAATCATTCCGATTTAAACGAAAATATTTGGCACAATCCTCGGGAGACGATCGACGGACGGGATGATGACAGTGGGTGCCCACTCAAGACTATCTGAACGTTGCTTGCTATTTCGTTGTTATTTCTTCTTAAACCTATAGCGAGCTGCAGCTACATTTCCTTCGTCGTTGGTTTCTATTGTTGCGCCGTTCGATTGTAGTTACGAATGCATCCCACTGCATTTTGGTGCCGCGCATTGCTTTCTACTACTGACACGGTAGCACCGTTATTTATGATGGCGGACGTTGTGTATCGATGCTTCGTCGCACTAACCTTAGTGCGGATATTTTTACTTCTGTCTCCGACAGCCCCAGTACTGCTGCCGTTGTCGCGCACTTTCGTGGCTACACATACTGTGGTTCCTCATGCCTCCAAAACCTAGTCGCGGCGACGCTTCGTGTTACTCCTCCTCACAAAGACTTCTCAGGTTTGGTTTGCTCAAATGTACTTCCCTGAACTTCAGATGACGGCTTCATAGACGACGTCGAAGGATGGAATTTTGCTAATGACTCAAATCATGTCGTCGACGCAAATGGACACGGAACCCATGTGGCAGGTCAGCGGTAAATGCACCTCACGCCCAGAGATGGATTGACAGGAAAAACAAGTCAACGAACAATGGTTTACCTGTAAATACACCTCTTCACTACTGTTGTAGTGGCAAGGCTACAGAAGCCTTGCCACTACAACAGTAGTGAAGAGGTGTATTTACAGGTTAACGCCCCCCCAAAGCTGCAGGCTGAGCATGTAACTTTGGGGGAGCATTTACCAGTGGTGTATTCCAAACTCCCCCACTTGTTTTCAGATGCCTTGTCACCGTATCTATAGACAAACACATTTTGACGTCTGTACAAGTATGGTGCTGCACTGTACTTTCCATATGCATAATAATTTGTGCACCTGAACTCCGGAGATCTGGCTGTGTAACATGTACACACACAAAAACGAGTTCTTGCGCCGTTCACTGGTGATAAGCGCTGCAGGCAACCCAGAGGCTGAAGCCACATAAGCAGATATACTTCGGTGCTGAGTTTAAAGATGCAACATACATTCATATCGTGTGTCTGAAGTTCAGCAGTCCTTCCGGTTTGGGATGTCAAGGTGTTGGAGTGTGGAGGGTCGTCGTAGTTCGATAGACGTTCGGTTATGCAAATTTAGGCCTACGGCCGATGACTCCTCCACGTGTGCTTGCGTATGCCGAGGTGCATGTAATTGTGCTGAACTGTCACACATGCACATTGAGAGCATTTTTAAAAATGTGTTTAAGAGCAATGCATGCACGGTACTCTAGGTGTAAGTATGTGTCGTGCACAGGAACAGTAGGAGGCGTGGCTAACAAGAGAGACATCGTCGGCTGCGCGCCGCTCGTCTCAATCATGAAGATACAACAATTTGGCTCCAGCGGGACGGTCAGTGTCTTCACTCAAGATGGCAGGCATCTGCTTTGGCGGGTTTCTGCGGGTGGTTCTCGCATCCTCTCTGTAAATGCTAGGGAGGTCCATTCCTGTGTATTTGTGCGCCTGAAGGGTTGGTGACACAGGCTTTAGCACTCACTGCCGAGGTCTATGGGGTTTATGGTTTAGTGTTTGCTGCGTTCGCTGAAGGGTTCAATAGGAGATGCTGTCCGGGGTATGGCCTACGCGATGCTGAAGGGGGTGTCAATAATAAACAACAGTTGGGGTGCAACGGAAACCACTGCGGCGTTGCAAGTATTGATAGAGCGGTCTCAGTACATGCGGGGAGGGTTAGGGATCCTGATTGTTAATGCTGCTGGGAACAGCAGCAGCAACAACGATGTTCAGCCATTTTACCCAGCAGGTTTCGACTACGAGAATACCATTTCGTGAGACAAACGCACAGTAGTGTGGGTGGGTGTCGTGCTAGGTGGACGTGTAAATAATATTATTATGTACTAACGCTTTTATTTGCAGTAGAACATGCCTCTGCCTCCACAAGTTTCGTTAACATCACATTTCCTTGCTTTCCTCCTCGGTAGCGATGGAGGGATTCCGTCCTGTTTGGTCTACGAATATCCTCGTGTGGCTGTCTTTTCCTAGTGTATCTCTCTTTCGTTTCTCTTCTCCGAGTCGTTGTTTCCACCTTCGCCCTTGCTTTCCGATTGGCAAGTGTTTTCTTCATGCCATAGTATTGAGTGCTTCCCCGTCCTTCCCTTGCCCATGTTGGCTTTTGCCCTTGTGTGTGTGTTTTTGCCTGTGCTTAGTTGTAATTTTTTCGTTGATGCGTTTGTGCTTACCCCTGTGCTTGTGCCGGTGGTTGTGCCTGCATTTATCTCCATTTTCTCGTGCTTGGTGTGCATTGCGTCTTTGTCACGGCTGCAAATGGCACTACATAACGTGGCAAGGGCTTCCATCCTCGAGGCCATGCAAGCCATCTCCTTTCATTTTGTCCTTAGGCCTTTGCTTTCTTTATTCCGTTGTTCTTTTCTTCCTCTTGCTAATTACCTATTAAAATGGCAATGCATATTTTTCAAGTTCCACTGCAGATTTCTTGCCATCAAGCGTGTCCCCATCCATTCATAAACCGATTTCGTGGGCTATGTGTTGTTTCCCACTTCATTCCATTTTTTCGTTTTCAGCGTAGGCGCTTATGATGCCGAGGGGAATTTGGCCTCCTTCAGCAATTATGGCAAGAACAGCGTCTCCGTATTAGCCCCTGGAGACAGAATTTATTCAACTTACCTTGATGAAGGCTTTGCCTTCCTCTCAGGAACCTCCATGGCAGCGCCACACGTTTCCGGTGAGGGTTTGGGGGTTAGGGGATGAAGGACATTTGAGAGCTGGCCTTTGGGGGACCAGAACTCAGGGCTCTGGGGTGGATAAGCTTCTCTAGGTGCTAAGGATTGGGCTACCGGGCTTTGAAGGCGTAGGCGTTCATGGTTGTGGACCCAGGGACAAGGGTCTGTGAGGGTTCATGGCCAAGGTTTTACGGATGAGGGGCTGAGAACAAACGAATTTCAAGTGGCTCTTTCTGTGCCGCCGTGCTCATATTCCAAGTGTTGCGTAGTGCGGAATGTTGTACGTATGGATGACGTTTGCGCTGTTTTATCCTCTTTTCAATTTGAACCGTTGCCAAACGGTTCGGAGTATTCTGTTTGACAAGTGTTTGCCGCCTTCCACTGGGGCTAGTACTCAGGAGTATCCCTGCTGTTGCTGAGGTGGCATGCTTGTTTTGCCGTATTGAAAGGAAAATACGCTTTTGGCATGCGACGCCTGCACTGTGCCCCTATGTTCCTGTTGACGCGTATTATTGCCGGTCAGCGGCATCTCCTTACGCACCACCCTTCGTCACAAAGCGGCAGTCATAGTTAAGCGCAGTACTTGGTGCCTCCTTCTCATTGTTTTGCCGCTACTGTTGTATTTTCAACATGCCTAGTGATTGCGCTTGTTGTTGTTCACTTTTCGACTGTCTCTGCAAGCTCGTGGTTGTCTTTGTTTGCATTTCCGTTGCCGCTGACTTTGCCGTTGCCACTTTTCTCTGTGTCTGCACAGGAGTGGGAGCACTGGTTTTTGGAGTGTTCAGAAAGGCAAACTCGGACGTCACCGCGGCAGAGGTCAAGGACATCATCAAAGTCACCGTACAGCCTCTTGAGGCGGCAAAACAAACCACTCAGTGGGGCGGCGCCGTCGATGCCGCGGCCGCTGTTTTAGTAAGTTGCTCTCTGCATATGGGGGTGGGTTCTTTAGTGCGGCAGCTGACTTGCACATCGGCGCACACATGGATGCCAATGCAAGTATTTATACGGCAGGTGTACTTATTTGTATGCATCCATAGGCATTATGGGCAGTGTGCAAGTTAGCTGTTGCAAGTCTGTAATGCGCAGTGTATGCTTGCAGGTAGGCATGCACCTAGAAATATATATACGATTTTGTGCATATATATAGATATAGATATAGATATAGATATATAGTGCATAAGTTGCGTGCTCTCCGGCACGTGAAGCCCATTGGAGCTTCAAGTGTGTCGCTCTCAACAGCCACTACGAAGCCCTCAACTGGCTTTGCTAGACTCCTTACCTGAGTCTGCAGTTTACGGAGACACAGAACTGATAATACAGGAAGGAAACCTTGAATGTTTTTTGGGTCCTACACATCCATTAATGCCAGGAGTGGACAGAGGGATTGTCGAACTGCAATGGTGTAAACGTGTGGCGGTGTTCAGAACTGAGGTGTTCTGCTCCCCATGTTTCTGCTATTGCCACTGCAATGACACCTTTGCTGTTGCTACTTCTGCACCTGCTGTTGTTTGTGCTGCTGATGTTTGACAGATGGCGAGAATGGGAGGCATGTGGATGCAAATGAAGTGTACAGACATGATCGTTGATTTGGAACCGCATGAGGAATATGCATCGACATTGTATTTGCGAGGTTATGCTGAAGGCAACTACAGGTAGCGTGTGTGCTTCCTTGTTTATCGTTTTGTCTCGTTTATATATGGCACGTGTTTTGGTTACTTCTGTGTACCTGGTTCTGCATGGTTGATTCAGTCTCTCGGTATTACTTTAATGCTCACCCAAACAACTTTGTCCTGGACACATCGATCGTTCATTTCTTTGTTATTCTGTTCAACCGTTTTGTGGTTTTTTCCGGAGAAGTAAAATGAGCAGCTCGAATTCCTGTGCATGAACCTACCCTTTGGCATCTCAGTCAAGTGCGGGTGATCCAAAAACCCCATTGCAGAGATGCTGCACAGACACGTAACATCTGTGTTGCTGATGGTTGAGGAAGTGCCACAGAGTTCTGGCCTGCGCTATTATTTCTTTCATCATAGCTGCACAATCTATTTTTTGCAAAGAAATCTACAAACATATTCGCACGTGCGTTCGTGCATATGTTTACATCTGTGTGTGTGCATGGGTGTCATATATATATATATATATATATATATATTGCGTAGGTTATTCGTAGTTGAGATCCTGCTGTCTATAAGGAACCGCATATAAGCCCCAGTCGCTACTAGTCCAGCAATTTTGATTACTGCCTACAGGGCTGACATAAAGGTTGAGGTGTACGACCAGAAAGGTAACCTGTTGGACTCTGCAATGATTCCTATCACGTTGAGCAGCAGCCTAGCACCAGAAGCAAACAAGCCAAGTGATGCTGAGGCAGCAAACGCCTTCAGCAGCTATGCAAAGGAGAGAGACCACCAAACGCCTCTTTGTGCGGTTCAGCTCGGCTATAAAGGCAGCCTAGAGGGTATGTTGCTGCTCACGGTTCTCATTTATGTTCTTTTCTTATCTTCTTTCTGTTTGTCGTGAGCTGTCTGTCATTTGGAAGTTGTTTGTCCCTGGTCTCTTTCAGTTTTTCTGTTTGTTACCTCTTTATCAAAACCCAGGGAAAGGAACTGAAGACAAGCGAATCACTCATTTCTCCTCTTTAGTTCCTTTTACTGGCATGCTGTCATTAGTATGCGTATATTGGGCGTGTTGGGGTTCCGTTCAGCTGCTGGCTTCGTTTTGCTCTAATTTCATTGATTCGTGTTTCTGTTGTTTGTATTCTACTGCGGCGCACTTTGCATTGTCTCCTCTTGTTACTGCGAAAGCTGGTGTAGTTACCTAGCGACAGAAGAGAAGCGAGTAGGGTTGTTTTCCTTGTTTGCTTTATTTATACATATTTCAGGCTTTTGTGCATGCAGTGATGTAGAAACAACTGCGCATCTGTGCATTATATATATACATATATATGCATGCATATATAAATGAGATATAATGCGTATGCGTTTGAACCACTGTTCCCCCGTGCATGCGTTTGTGTAGGAGTAGGGTTAGTAGTGTATCTACATTTGGATGGTTGAACTTGCCTCACTTTCCAGTGGATTGAGGCAATAAAAGTGTAATCCTTTCTCTGTTTACTCACTTGTGTATTTGTTCCTAACGTGGTTTGATGCTTGCTCCTTTGCGGTGCAGAAGAGGGGTGGAGTGTACTGCAAATCGCTGCAGTTTCCCTTGGCTGTGTCGCCGGTGTTTTGCTGCTAGCCATAGGGGGGTTTTTCCTTTATTCGCGCCTGTACGCTCACAGGGTCTCTCAGTCTATTGGGTCTTAACTGAGCTGCAGCTGGTTCGCTCTTACCTAGCGAAGCATCCTACCTAAAGAGGGGTGTTAACTCTCGTAGGAAGTTCTTGAACAAAGTCACACGTAATTAACATTAGTATGGCTTGCAGTTGCACTAAGAGCTTAATAGGGACTTAAAACGCACGTCACGATGTGAGTTGACGGTACGAAGATGCACCTCCTGCGTTTGCAACCGCTTTCGTCTACCTCTACTTGGTTTTTCCTTTTCTTTGCCTGTGTTTTGCATTTCCCTCTGGTCGTTGTTTTGTATGTCTTTGTTCATTCACAGTCTGCGGTTTCATTTTCAGCCGTCTGTTGGTCTTTTGTAGTTTGCTTGTTAGACCGCTTCCTACTTGGCAAATGCTGCTCTGTTTGTTTTCTTCTATTTCGTATTGTACTCCACATAGATCTTCTGTTGTTGGGGTCCCCCACTTTTAGTTGTCTGCTCTTGGATAGGAACGCCCTAAAGAATTACGCAAAATACATTCCGGTTGCGAGTTTCCAGTTTCGTCTAGATTTGAAGACTATTTGCGCGTTCAGCACACGCGTTGCCTAGTAACTAATACATTTGCACAGCAGCCACTTGTGTAGTAATAGGTGTGCATATCTGTTTAAATATGCGTATCCCTTTTTATAATATATATATATATATATATATATATAT